TATTTAAATGGCTGACCCCAATATGATTATTGCCCCCATTTTACAGAGGAGCAAACTGAGGTAGTATAGCCTCAAGAGAGCTGAGAACTTGCCCGAGGCACACAGCTCTTCACTGTGAATCCAATGGGTTTATTTTATTTTATTTTCCACTCTGGTAAATCTCTTTCGATAGAAAGATCCAGAAAAGACTTCGGCATCACTCCTCCCCTGTCTTTTCCATCCGGTTTTGTTCTCTGAACCAAAAACTGGGCCACACGGCCTGACAGAGCTTCTGGGCTGCCCCTGGGTGTGAGGAACAGCCAACATGTTAGAATTTCTGGGACACATCAGCGGTTCAAGAGGATAAAAGCTTATGAAACCAAGAATGACCTGGAAAATCAGGGCCGTGGGGTCAGTGGAGCTGACCACAAGGCTGCTTATGCCAGGGGCTGTGTGTCAGGGAAGGCAAGGAGATAGACGGGAGGGTCATGAACTTTGGGGACTCAGATCTGACCTCCTTGTTGGCTGTGTGACCCTAGGCAAGTCTCTTTCCCTCTCTGAGCCTCCATTTACCGATGGGGGTAATGACACCTCTCTGCCAAGCTATTTGGAGGATTGGGACAAATATACCTGAGAGTCTTGGACCAGAGATGGGTACACAGTAGGTGCTTAATCCACAGTGATTTGAACCATCAGTCATGTGGGAGGTGATGTTTGGGTGGCATCTGGAGGGGTAAGTTTGCCAGGCAGAGAAGGGTGGCGCAGGGCATTTGTGACAGCCCCATGCCAAAGCCCACAGGGAGGACTGTGCTGGGAAGGAGATGAAAGACCAGACCACGCCTGACCTGAAAGCCAGACCTGGAGGAGGACATCCCTGATGGTCCAGTGGCTAAGACTCCATGCTCCCAATGCAGGAGGCCTGAGTTCAGTCCCTGGTCAGGGAACTAGATCCCACTTGCCCCAACTAAGACCTGGTGCAGCTAAATAAATAAATATTAAAAAAAAAAAAAAGCCAGGCCTGGGGATTGGGGCGCTGGGAGTCACAGGAGGTCTGGGAGGAGGGGAGGAACTGGGTCAGTTCTGGGTGTGGGAAACTGGAGGCAGGGAGGCTGGGGAAAAGGCCAGGGCGGAGGCTGGGGTGAGGGTTCACAGGGACAGAATGAAGCCGGGCCAGGGCTAGGGGCTCTGGGGACACACAGGAGGGGAGGTGGCAGAGAGCTGCAGCAGGAGGGTCAGGGGCTGATGACTGACGGGGGCAAGCGGGGGAGCAGGTAGGGAGGAAGGGGAGGTGAGGACCGGCCAGGAGTTTGACCCTGGGTGAATGGTGGGGCTCTCCTGGGACCTGGAGCGGGGCGGGGTTGGGCACAGACCAATTCTGAATCTGAAGGAGAGTTGACTCTGCAAGAGATGCTGGACCGACCCCTGCCTCCCGCTGTGATCTCCAACCCAGCCCCATCCTTCCCCTCCCCCCACAGAACCCTCCAAAATCTCACACCGCAGGAAACCCCAGGAGCCACGGCCCAACCCCTCCACCTGGAGGTGGGGAAGCTGAGGCAAAGAGGCAGAATTCCGCTAGCCGCCCCCCCCCACCCCCATCAGATTCCAGGTCTGGGTGGGGACTCAGGCATCCAGATTCTGGATCTGGTGCCCCTTCCGGGCCTGGGGTCCCCACGTCCGCTGACGCCTCCCCTGCCCCCCAGGATCTCCGTAGCTCCGTAAAGTGCATCTGCCAGTTCCTGGGCCGGCCGCTGGGCGAGGAGGCGCTGGAGTCCGTCGTGGCACACTCGGCCTTCAACGCCATGAAGGCCAACACCATGTCCAACTTCTCCCTGCTGCCCCACAGCCTGCTGGACCAGCGCCATGGTGCCTTCCTCCGGAAAGGTGAGGGGACTCTGGGGTTCCAAGCCCCATGAGGCCACTGCCTGGCTGTGTGTCATGGGCGAGTTACTTAACCTCTCTGGGTCTGTTAGCACGGAGCTTGGCATACAACTGATGCTAAACGCTGGAAGGCATTGCCAGAGTGGCTCTGAACGCTCGGAGGCTGGAGTCTTCTCCGTGAACCCTTCTTAAGGGTTAACGTTCACCCCAGAAATAGTCAAGTGCTGGATGACACGCTGAGTGTGGGAGTGTATTAGTTTCCTATTCCTGTTGGAACCAAATACCACACATATAGGGGCTTAAAACAGCACACATTCAGGGAAATTCCTGGTGGTCCAGTGGTTAGGACTCAGCACTTTGCACCCCGTAGCCCAAGAGTGGGGAAACTAAAGTCTTCCAAATAGTGCAGTGCAGCCAAAATAATAATAATAATAATAAAAGAAAAAAAACACACACACATTCATTGCCTTATTGTTCTGGATATCAGAAGTCCAAAATCAGCCTCACGGAGCTAAAATTAAAGTGTCAGAACCATGTTCTTTATGAAGGCTCTAGGGGAGAATGAGTTCCCTGCCTTCACAGCTTCCAGACCCGCCTGCATTCCCTGGCTCATGGTCCCTTCCTCCATCTTCAAAGCATCTTCTACTCTCTGACTCTGACCCTCCCGCACCCTCTTATAATGATGAGTGAGTGTGTGCTAAGTTGCTACAGTCGTGATGAGTCTGCAATTCTGTGGACTGTAGCCGGCTAGGCTCCTCTGTCCTTGGGAGTCTCCAGGCAACAATGCTGGACCAGGGGATCTTCCCAACCCAGGGACTGAACCCGCGTCTCTTACACCTCATGCATTGGCAAATGGGTCCTTTACCGCTAGGGCCACCTGGGAAGCCCCTCTTATAAGAATGTTTGCCATTGAATGTTAACATCTTTAACTTAATCACATCTGTAAAGTCACTTTTGCCGTGTCAAGTCACATGTACATAGGTTCTAAGGGTCAGGTCACAGACATCTTGGTGGGGGTGCCACTAGTCAGCCCATCACAGGGAGGTCAGCCCATCACAGGGAGCTCCCCCCCAAAACCTCACTAAGGGTGTCATGTAACATGTGGTGTATGCATTTGCGAAAATTCAAAACACTGTGACCCAAATGACTTTGGCCCCAGGATTCCAGGTAACAGCTGGTGTCCCTGGTTATCCCATGAGATGAGAAACTTGAGGGCGCATTTCCCTACTGGTCCAGTGGTTAAGATTCTGCACTTCCGCTGCAGGGAGTGCAGGTTCAACCCCTGGCCTGGGAACTAAGATCTCATATTCTGCACAGTATGGCCAAACCAAAAATAAATAAATAAATAAAGTAAAAATAACTAAATAATTTTTTTAAGATAAATTTTAAAAAAAAGCAACTTGAGGGATCCAAGTGTTTGCCTAGGGGCACATCGAGCTGGCAGTCACACCCTCACCTGCTCAGTGGCAGTGGGAGGCAAAGCGTCAGCGCGATCCATGGTGCCCAGAAGCGCAGGGAAGGCGCTGGCTCCCAGTGTCAGAGCAGTACTGGAGGCAGCGGACGCCGCGGTAGGCGCACTGGAGCGAGGAAGCCCTGTTCTAGCCAGGGAAGGAAGGACAGGTGGAAGAGGAGGTGATACAAAGCCGGGGCAGGATGCTAGATGGGGAGGCGGATGCTCTGGGTAGATTTGTGAGCTCGGTGGGGGAAGGGGAGAGGTCTGCTGGAGAGGTGAGCACGGCAAAGGGGGCCCGACGGGGAGGAGCAAGAATGGTGCCCAGGGGTCTGGCCAGGCGACTGGTGGCCAGTGACAACGTGTCAGCCATCAGCAAAATGCAGATATGGGGGGTGGGGGGAAGGACAGTGCTTCTAGCAAAGGCCAGGAGGTGGGAAAGAGGGTGCTGGCATCTTGGGGGCGGGGACGACGCTCTGGATGCGCCTCAGCTCCGCCTTCCCTCCCTTCCCCTCCAGGGGTCTGCGGTGACTGGAAGAACCACTTCACCGTGGCGCAGAGTGAAGCCTTCGACCGCCTCTACCGCGAGCAGATGCGGGGGCTGCCGACCTTCCCCTGGGACGTGGACCCCGAGGACGCCAGTCCGGACCCCGACCCGAGCCCCAACCCAGATCAGGCCTCCGAGGCACCCCACTCGTGACCCTAAGAATAAAAGCGTGTCTCTCCTGTGCGGGCTACTGGATGCGCCGCGGAGGGGATGTGCCGCCGGCGGGCGGGGCGGGGCGCCGTCGAGAGCCTCGGAGGCTGGGGTGGGGGCCCCAGGGGTCGCCCAAGGCCTAGGGGTGGGAGAGGTCCTCTAACACACCCCGCACACCTGTGGGGTCGGGGCTCTAGAAGCCTCTCCCAGAGGCAAAGAGGGAGGCAGGGAGACCAGCGCTGGGCACCTGACTCCCTCCTGGCCGGGGTGCTGCGACCCCGACTCCGGGATCCTGGGGAGGGAGGGTGATGGGGGCCAGGACTCCCGGGTCTGAGGTAGGAAGGAGCCAGGTCTGAACTCCTCCCGTGAAGCTGCGGAAACGCACGTTTCTGGCATAAAGCAGCTTTATTCTGAGCAGAGGTAAAGGGCAGCCCTCACAATCCGTCCCTTAACCCCCAAGAAACAGACTCGGCCCCTGCTGGCTTCCCCTCCGCTGGCCCGGGCCTGTTTCCCAGCAGGTGTGTCTTCAGACACTTCCAGCCCCTCGGGATTCAGCTCGGCTCCCCCTGGACGCTCCTCTCCTCTCCGAGGCCAAGCGCGGTTTTCCCCACAGCTCCTGAGCGCGGCGGGTTCAGGAAGCCTCCCCTCAGTCCCGAGACTCCCCATCTTCACCCCCGCACAATTCCAGCATGGGGACCACTCAGCCAGGCGTCTCCTCAGAGAAGTTCTGGCCCCGCGGGAACAGGAGGTGTGCTGTTAGGACCCCGGCTAGTGGAGGCCTCTTGCCCATTTTCTAGGCTGTGACACTGAGGTCCAGAGCGGCACTGGGCTTGCCTACAATCTAGAACAAATGGCGGGGGGGTGGAAATCCTTGGCATCTCCCAGACACCAAGGCCACAAGCTTTGTCCCAGGTACAACAGTGAGGCGGGGGGCTCTAAGTGACCGTTGTCTGACTGTCCTGGGTCAGGGCCAGGGCCATTTGGCTTTGGCTCCGGTCAGGGCTGCCCCCTGAGTCCTGGCTGGGTGGCCCCGTCTGGCTGCCGGATGCCTCTGGGTTCCAACAGTTTGGAGGCAGCATCTTCAGCAAATCTCCTCCGGGTCGGGGACAGATAGCGGAGGCGGCGGCCGGGGGTGAGGGGCAGGGGGCCGCCCCGGGGCTGGGACCAGGCCAGCGGACTGGCATCTGCCTCCCCGCCAGGGGCCCCTCCAGCACCCCGTTGCCTCATCAGGGCCTTGGCTGGTGTGTCCTTGGAGCCCCAGGACTTCTTGAGCTGTGGAGGGAAAGACAGGGAGGTGAGAGGTGGTTCTTGGGGGTCCCAGAGCCTGGGGAGAGAGAGAGAGCATGCGACGGTGGCGGGGAGAGGATGGAGGGGGTGCTTAGGAAGGCGGGACGGGAGAAAGGGGGAGGTGGGCTGCAGGGAGATGAGAGTGGAGGGATGGAGGGTGTGAAACTCCGAGGGGAGGTGAGAAGACCTATGTGTCTCCAGAACCAGGAGGGAAGTGAATGGGGAGGCTGGGGACCCCCAGACCTACAGAGGGGGGTGCGGAGTTGCGTCCCCATGTGCACCTTTGCAGTGAGGAGAGGAACAGGAAGCAGCAGGCAGCTGCGTGGGGGAAGCAAATATTTGCCAAGGGAGGTGATGCCGGGTGAGGGCGGCTCAGGACCGGGCAGAGGTGAGGACCTTGCCCCTGCCCATCCCCTCTTCTCTTGATCGGGACCGAGGGAGGTGATTCCAGGGACATTCATTTCTCTCCGGAGAGGCCTCAAGCTCCCACTTAGCATATGGGGAAACTGAGGCCCAGAGGGGGCACAGGTCTGCCTGCATCTGGGGAGAAACCACCGGTTTCTGCCACGTGGCTCCTGCTTGCAGCCCACGTCACAGCTGAGGACACTGAGGCACCATCCAGGGTTTCCCCAGAGAACAGGGGCAGGCTCTGCCAAGTGTCTAAGCAGCTGGGAGTAGGGAGGGGAGACCCCCCTGACCTCCTCTAGCCCCCTCCCCAACACACCCAGCACACTCGAATCCAGAAAGCCAGTTAGCAGAGAGCATTTAAATGTTCCACCTGGGAAGCAACCAGGGCTGAGATCCAGTTCCTCCCTGGTGCCTTGGTTTCCCCACCTGTGCAGTGGGTGCATGGAGAGCTGTAATCACATCCACCTCAATGGCTGTGGCAGTTCAAGGTGAAAGCGAAAGTACTAGTCACTCAGTCATGTCCGACTCTTTGCCACCCCGCGGACTGTAGCCCTCCAGGCTCCTTTGTCCGTGGAATTCTCCAGGCAAGAATACTGGAGAGGGTTGCCATGCCCTTCTCCAGGGGATCTTTCCAATCCAGGGATGGAACCCGGGTCTCCTGCATTGCAGGCAGATTCAGATGGTTTGTGGCAGAGGTTACATTTAATCAACTCTGAGAAAGCGCTTGGCATGGGGCCTGGCACATGGCAAGGTGCCTGAGAAAAGATCGTTGCTTTGACCTTGGGCAAGTGAAACTCAACCCCTCTGTGCCTCAGCTTTTCCATCCATACAACTGAGCATTAACAGGAGTATCGCCTCACTGCCATGGGAGGAGGAGGTCAGGAAATCAAAATAAATTCCATCTGGGGACTTTATAGTAACAATGGTGATTATTCTATTTCATTCCACCACACTGACTCCTCCTCCCAAGCAAACTGAGGAAGGGGACAGTAGCTCAGCCCATGTCCCTGATGAGAGCCCTGAGGGTCCGAGAAGGAGGCTCTCGGGGTCTCTGCCCAGCACACAGTAGGGATACCAGAAGTGGACCATGCCATTAGGAATGCAGGGGAGCCGTTTTGCTTCCCCCGCCCCCTGGACCAGGCACCTCACAGGGGCCCTCACAGGCCTCCATCCTCTTCTAGGCCCGCCACCCAGTCTCACCTCATTTTCTCCATCACTAGAGCCCGATAGCTGGGACAGGCGACTCAGGTCCCAGAGGGAGCGGCTGGGCCTGGTTGGGGGGCCGCTGGGGATCCGGGCGCGCTGCACGCTCCTCAGGATGTCGCTCAGAGCCGGCCCTGGCGCGGCCGGGGTCTCCTGCCTGTCCCCCTCGAAGACTTGGCAGGCGGACAGGCGTTGGGTCAGTGAGCCATCGGGCGGTGGTGGCGGCGACAGGGGGGCCACGGAGCAGCGGTGGGCCACACGGTGTGGGCTGTGAGCCAGCTGCAGCCTCTCCAAGGATCTAACAAAGTGACCCAGGGTGGGCGCAGGCGGGAGCGGCCAGGAGGTTGCATACAGCGTCCGGAACTCTCGGCTGAAGGCATCGGCGATTTCACCGGTCAGCAGGGTCACCAGGCCACGGTGCAGGCGGGAGTCACTCCACGTGAAGCTGGGGGGCACAGAGGGTGGAGGGGAGGTCAGGATCTCCAGGCAGCCTCAGAAGCCTGGCCTGGCTCCCATCACCCGCCCCCAACCTGGTCTCATGGAAAGGCTGTGTGACCTCAACCAAGTCCTGCAATCCCTCTGGCCTCAACATGCCCCTCTGTAGAGTGGGGGCAACCAGGTATCCACCCCAGAGGGTTGATGGGAAGGCATGAGCTAACATACTTAAATGATCACCTGGAATCAGACTGGATTTTAAACTTGGGCTCTGCCCCGTTCCCACAGAGGGATGCCTCAGTTTCTGCCTCTGGAAAGAGACAGTATTCTGACACCCTCTGGGACACTTTGAAGGCTCAATTGCTTCCTATTATGACTGCCACTTATTAACTGCTTGCTGTGTACCAGGCTCTGCGTGTACCTGCTCCCTGCCTCTGTTTGCTGATCTGTCACATGGAACTAAAACACAGGAAGATTAGAATCAGAAAATATGGGTCGGGCCCCCTGCCCAGGGCCCAGCATTGTAAGTCTGGGAGTTGAGACTTCCCCAGTGGTCTAGTGGCTAAGACTCTGCACTCCCAGCGCAGGGGACCTGGGTTCGAACTAGATCCCACATGCTGTAAAAGATACTGCATGCAACTAAGACCCAGTGCAGCCTAATACTGAAATTAAAAAGAAAAGAAACTCCGAACTTCCAATGCACAGGACCTGGGTTCAATAAGTGGTCAGGGAACTAGATCCCACATACTGCATGGCATGGCCAAAAAAAAAATATATATATATATATCCCAATTATATTTCAATTAAAGTAAGTAAATAAATACTTCAGAAGAGTTTAAAAAAATTAAAGTCTGCAAGCCATGGTGAGCTGTGCCCTCACTATCCCTGTGATCACACTGGTTGTGATTTAGAGAATCAAGCACACGTGCTGGTACACCGAAGGTGCTCAGTAAATGCTCTCTTTGGAATTACATGAACCTGGGCTCTCCTCCTGGCTCAGGGGAACTTTCCCTCCCTGAGCTTCGGTTTGCCCATTGCAAAACCAGGCTTGCACTGGTCCACATCATCTTGCACCTCGGCGGGCACCGTAGCAGCACCCGGCAGAGAGGACCACTTCGAGGCTGGGATGACGAACGCCGGTCCAAGCATCCTTACGTCGTGGGGTGTCAGCATCCTCGCTCCCTGGCAGGTCGGCGGGCCAACCTGCCCCCTTGGATTCTGACACCCCTCCCCCACCTATGACCTCAGCCCCGGAGCGGCCAGTGGGAACCCTGGGGAGGGGGGCGCATCTGTGAAGTCACCCCCATTCCACTCCACAGAGACTCCTGTCGGGCAGCGGTCGCTGGCTCATCTCCGTCGCCGGGGGGAGTTTCTGAGACCCGAGGATTCAAGAGCAGTGGTCACAACGGAGCTTCGGAGAAGGACGCAGAGCGTCAGGAACTGAGGACACGCCGGTTGCTGGGCCTGGGAGATCAGAAGTCCCAAGGGCACGAGGTGTGTCGTTCAGCAGTTCCGGGAGGCCCGGGAAGCCCACGGCCTGGCTGGGGCACCGTCACCGCCGCCAGGCCACCATGGTCCTCGGCTGGCTGCCGCTTCTGGTGATGGTTCTGGCCCCCGGCACAGCGGGCGTCAAGGACTGCGTCTTCTGTGAGCTGACCGACTCCACAAGCTGTCCCGGCACCAGCATGCGCTGTGGCGACGACGAGGACTGCTTCACAGGCCACGGGGTGGCCCCCGGCGTCGGCCCCATCATCAATAAAGGCTGCGTGCATGCCACCTCGTGTGGCCACGAGGAGCCCATCAACTACATGGGCGTCACCTACAGCCTCACCACCAACTGCTGCACTGGCCACATGTGTAACGGGGCCCCTGACCCCACGTCCGGCCGCTTGGCGGGGGCCGCTGCCAGCCTGGCACTGGGTGTGCTGCTGCTGCTCCGACACGCACCGTGACCAACCTGGAGGGCAGGGCCCGGGGCTGGTCTCCTGGCTGCGTTGCTCCCCCTGTCCCCCACCTCCATCCCCTTCCCCCATTAAATGGCCAGAGGCCCTGGACAACCTCTTGTGGCCCTGGCCTCATCCATTCTAGGGCTGCCCACCGGAGAAGCCCGGTGCTCTGGAAGCAGCCCCAGGCCCTCCAATTTAGTGATGGGGGAGCCATGTCCAATGGGTTGGACTGGACTACTGTATTTCATTGGTTCTAAGACACGTTATTTTTTCAGATTGGGATCAGGATGTCTCTTTCCTTTGGTGGCACCTTAGAGTCGATGAAATATGGTAAAAAACAAAAACAAAAAATCAAATAATAATAAATGACAGCTGACGTTGATGCAGCACATGTTATGTTCCGTGCCAGGTATGATTATCTTACGGAATCCCCAAGTGAAGCTGAGAACAAAGATTATCTTCCAAAACCTCCCAGTCTTGGGAATTCCCTGGCGGTCCTGTGGTTAGGACTCTGCACTTTCACTGCCCGGGTCCCCGGGTTCAATCCCCTGGTTGAGGAGCTGAGATCCAGCCAGCTGCGACGCGCAGGCCAAAAAAAAAAAAACAACCCAACATCCCAGTCTTGATGCTAGCAGTTCTCAAAGGGTGGTCCCCGGACCAGCAACATCAGCACTAACCAGGAACTTGTTAGAAATGTCAATTCTCGGACCCCAGTCCAGGCTGGCTTGGGGCCCAGAAATATGGGTTTTATTTATCAAGTCACCCAGGTGACTCTGGGGTCTGCTCACAGTTGAAAGCCGCCAGGCCAGGGCAAAGGTAATCAACTGGGCACTTCTGCCCCTGGCGGGGGGCACCTGGCAATGTCTGGAGATGGTTTGGGTTGTCATAACTGGGGAAGCTGGATGCTACCAATATCCCCTGGGTAGGGGGCCATTCAGCCCAAGAAAGCTCCCCCGCAATACAGAATCATCCAGCCCCAAACACGAGCAGTGCCTGTCTTGAGAAACCTTGCTCTAGACACGCTAATCGGACCATCCCATTGTCTAGAGGGAGAAACTGGGGCACAGAGAGGGGGAGTCAGTTGCACAAAGTCATGCAGCCAGTAACTTCCAGCTAGGGTTTGACCCCAGGCCATCTGGCTCGGAGTCCCCATGCCCTGTGCCATGCTGTTCCCAGGAAGTAAACGTTGCTATTTTCACACTTTGCAGATGGGAAAACTGAGGTTCAGAATAAGGGGAGGTGCCAGCCCAGTGTCCCAGAGCTAAGAAGTCACGGAGCCAGGTTCCAGGGTCAGTCGGGCCCCGGGGAGAGAAGAGGAGGGACAGGAGAATGCTCTGAGGACCGGGCCATTTGTACACCAGCTCTGATTTTGGCGTCCTTGCGCGCGTGCTAAGTAGCTTCAGTCATGTCCAACTCTGTATGACCCTATGGAGTGTAGCCTGCCAGGTTCCTCTGTCCATGGGATTCTCCAGACGAGAACACTGGAGTGGGTTGCCATGCCCTCCTCCTGGGGATCACCCCGACCCAGAGATGGAACCCACGTCTCTTATGACTCCTGCATGGGCGGGCGGGTTCATTACTACTGCGCCACCTGGGAAACTCTCTGATTTTTGCACAGACACTCAAAGAGGTGGAGACAGCCACCCAAAGCAGAGCTTGGACTCCGGGTCCCCCTGGCATGGGAGCTCCCACACACTGGGAGAGCAGTTTCCCAGATGATGAAGTGCAGGGGCCAAAGAGATGAAGACTTACCCCCAAGCCACAACCCTGCCCGGTGGGAGGTTCAATGCCAGCCTGTTCTGCCACAGGACCCCTCCTCTCCCGGGCAGGGGTGGGTACAGACCCATCTTACCCGGGAGAAAACAGAGTCTGGGGGAAGGGCACGCCCCACTGCCGGCTGAGGGGCAGCTGGGGACCAGAGGCCGGGCAGCGTGGGGTCGGGGGCACCGCACCTGTAGGATCCTGAGATGACCCGCTCGCCATCCAGCAGCACGAACTTTTCCCGCACATTGCCGCTCACCTGCCGACGCCAGCGGCTCTGGAAACTGCAGCCCCGCACGACTCGGATGTCTAGGTTCTGCGGCAGGAGGGCACGCCCTTGCTCAGGCCGACCCTCCCCTCCCCCATGACCTCCACCCGGTGCCCTCCCTCCAGGCTGCTCCTACCTGGGTGGCCCATGGCAGGGTCTGTCCCAGCCTCCCCAGGGATCTCCTGCGGAGAGTCCACGGGAAGGCTCACTCCAGCAGCCCCACCGCCACACCATGGGCATCAGATCTCAGGGGACCCTCTCAGCCAGCATCCACCTTGATGACCCAGGACCCCCTAGAAGTGTCTGCCCAACCCCGCTCCCCCCCCCCAGTGCCAGGGGATTGGGGTCTCACCCTCCAGCCACCCGGTCCCTACCTCAGTGGACCAGGGGTTGACCCCCAGCTGCTGGGCCAGCGTCAGAAAGGCAGGCAGCTGCTGACGGTCCAGGAGCAGGTAGACGGGCACCCAGCGGCGCGTGGCAGCCTCCACCAGGTCCAAAAGCAGGTCTGGGTCGGTGAAGACATCCATGACCACGGCCACCAGCTGAGGGGTGGGGAGAGGGGCTGTGGGCGGAGCCTGGGGCTTGGGGGCACATTCCGCGGGTGAGGTCCTCTGGGGCGTTTAAGGGTCCAGGCTCCGTGGGACATTCAGGGAAGCTGAGGGGGAGACCCCGAGACACGTACTACTGTTCATTCAATGCCTATGTGTGAACTGACTCAAGGGACACGAGTCTGAGCAAACCCCAGGAGACAGTGGAGGACAGAGGAGCCTGGCATGCCGCAGTCCATGGGGTCGCAGAGTCAGACACGACCGAGCAACTGAACCACAACGATGTGTGAATGAGAAGCAAACAGCCTTTCTGGAGGCCCCCACCTCTAAGTGCTGGAAAACTGTCATCATAGATCACACGTCTGCAGCAGTGCCCCATGGGCTTTGACGCTACATGGCTGCCGGGCTCCAGGGCTCAGTGGGCTGGAGCCCCTTCACTGGGGGCAGCCGCACACCTGGTCCTTGGGTGGGATAACCTGCCAGGCCACCAAGGCGAGCTCTGGGGACGGGGAGATGCTGAGGAGCCTGGAGCTGGCAGGCAGGAAAAGGTGGTGGTGTTGAACCCTGAGTCACTGGCCAGAGGGCCTTGGTTCAAAGCCCCACTCGGCCACTTAAAAGGCAAGGGACAACCTGCCGTGCCTCACTCTCCCCATCTCCTCAATGGGTACATTAAGCCTCAACCTCACAGGACCCTCCTTGGGATTAGGTGGGTTAACCCATAGAAAAACACTTAGCGTGAGAGTAGAGACATAAAAAGTGTTGTTAAAGAATGGGCTGTCCAAGGGGCTGCAGGGCAGACATTTTCAGTTCAGTTGCTCAGGCGTGTCTGACTCTTAGCGACCCCGTGGTCTACAGCACGCCAGGCTTCTCTGTCCATCACCAACTCCTGGAGCTTGCTCAGATTCATTTGGGGCCCCCTAAAGGAGGATAAGGGCTTCCCGGGCAGGTCAGAGGGTAAAGAATCCACCTGCGGTGTGGGAGGTCTGGATTCAATCCCTGGGTTGGGAAGATCCCCTAGAGGAATAAGTGGCAAGCCACTCCAGTATTTTTGCCTGGACAAGAATCCCCAAAGACAGAGGAGCCTGGCGGGCTACAGTCCATGGGGTCACAAACAGTCGGACATGACTGAGCGACTAAGCACAGACATCCACCCTGGAGGTGGGGGTGGGGTGGAGTAGGTGACTGAGATGTGCAGTCATACTTAGGTCCAAGAGGCATGGATGCCTGAGGCACCCAGGTCTTGGGGAAAGAGTGGGAACCCTCAGATCTAAGAGGGTGAGGGTGAGCTCAGGGCCGGGTGGATGCCTGGATCCTGGCAAGTGTGGACACGCACGGTCCAGAATGCCGGGGTCCCAAGGGATGTGCCCTCACGCTCACATTTAGGGGCCGACACGTGAGGGTGGCCGAGTCTGGGCGAGGGACCCCCTGAGGCTCCCACCTTGTGGGCGGCCCGAATCTCCTGGTGCACCAGCTCCTTGAGGGACGGCTGGCCCTCACCAGGCGGCTGGGTGTACAGCTGGGCCCGGGTGATCCCTTTCCAGGCTGAGTCCTCCGGCCAGCCCAGGCGCAGCACAGGCACCGCCTCCTCTGACTGTCCCGGCCAGTAGGTCAGGCTGCCCGAGACCCTGTGGGCGGCGTCGGCTCCCTCTCCTGCCCCGCCGGACTCAGGCTTCGCGGCTGTCCAGTCCTCAGCTGCTGCCACCAGGCCCCGGAGCTCCTCTCCGCCCAGGAAGGGCCGGAGGCGCTCGCGCCGCACGCAGGCCTCGAATGCCTCCGCTCCCTCGCCCAGCAGAGCCTCCAGCGCTAGTCGCTGGCCCTCGGAGTACAGGAAGCCGGGGCTGGCCTCAGTCGGGGGCCGTCCCCCGGGCCCTGGCTCCGTCCCTTCCAGTGCTGCCAGCTGGGAGGCCGCCATTGGGCCGTTTGAGGGGGAGGATGGCGAGGCTGGATGTCCCAAGGGCTTGGCTGTCTCTGGGCACCGAGCATCTAGAGGTCTCCAGACAGGCAGACTCCGTGTGGCCGTGCAATGCCACCCACACTGTCCTCAGTCCCGACGGCCCGCCGTCCTGACCATCGGACTGCCCAAATGAGGGACCGCCCGGGTGTGTGGCACTGCTCAGACCACCAGCCTGCCAGCCACCTGACCTTCCTGCTAGACTTCGATGGTCTGGCGGAGCCCACAAGTGGCCCCCCGCGTGTCGGTCAGACTGCCTGACACTGTCTACAGCCACCCAGCTCTGCTTTCTGACACGCCAGCCCCCCTCCAGCCCCACTGGTGACACGAGGCTCCAAGTGACCCTGCCTCTGGCTCAGGCTGACTCTCCCAGGCAACAGGCTGTCTCTCTGAGCATCCAAACGTCCCTAGCTAAAGGCAGAGCAGGCTGCCCGTTGGCCCCTGGCAGATAGCACACCTAACTGACCCTCTCTGGATGTCTCTTTGATGGTCCAGAAGACATGGATCGCTTCCAGCTGACAATCTCAGCGTCTGACCACCCAGTGGAGCAACCAGCAGGCTCCGCCGGAATGTTTCTCCTGACAGCCAGCCGCCTGACTCACCGGTCCTCACTGGCCAACCATCCCGGAAGCCTTCTCTGTGAATCATGAACCACCCCTCTCAGCCGTGGGAGGGTGCACACTGGCCCTAAATCTTGGCATCACCTTCCCCAGCTGGGGACCTCAGTCTGTCTCCTGTGCAGGGTGAAGACCCTGCTCCCTGAGCGTTCACACCCACTCAGGCTGCTGCGGGGGTGGGTGCCCTCTGTAGGGAGTTTTGTTACAATGCAATCAGCCCATTCAGACTGATAGCCGGATCAGCTAACCCCGGTTCCCAAGACCACTGACCCGGCCTGTGTCCCGGGCCTCTGAGTGATCTCGGGCCCACTCCAGCCAGGATTTCTGCCTTAATCCCACTGCCTCCGGCCAGCAGACTGTCCACTTATTCCAGGATGAGGACCACTCTGCATCCCTCCCAAGCTGCCCCTTTGACGATTCTGACTCAGCCTCGGCTCGGTGGACCCCCCAATCCCTGTCGACAAGAACCCCCTCTCCAGCACCGTCGGCTCCCCTCCGCCAGACCACAGCAAACCAGCCCTGCAAAGAGAAGAGGAATAAAGCCAAGCCAGTCCCTCTCCTTCCAGTCCTCCCCAGACCCCCCATCTCTCCCAGGTCTCCATCCCCTTCTCCTCCTCTTGCCTTTCTGGAGGTCAGATCAGGGGCCTGGAGACCTCCTTTATTCCTGTGGCTCTTCCAGCCGGCCGGCCTGCCTTATTCATCAGGTTTCTTCCTGGGATCCGGGGAACCCAGCCCCTTGTGCAAATACAGGGGGAGGGCCATCATAGGCCCCTGGAAATCTGGGGTGTGGGACCGAAGTAAGGGAAGGTCCCAGCGGCCCGCCAGACTCCGGTTTCAGGGGCGGGAACTCACATCACCTGTTCCCGCGCACCCTCTCCCCTACGGTGTCCCAACCCATTTCTATTTCCTGGTCCAAGCCCCACCAGCCATCCCTAATGTGGAGTTCCTGAGGGGAGCACGGGTCCTTTAAGAGTAGGTGTGGTTGGTTAAAAAAGGAAGCAGGTGTCATTAACACCAGACACCTGGAGAGAGGTGGGGCTTCAGCCTTAGATGGCTGCTAGATCCCAAGGGTGCAGCAGGGTCCAAGGGCACCAACAGGCTTAGGGTGAGCGCCGCGGACACTCAGGCCCCCGCAGACTCCGCCCCCCACCGCACGTCGTCAAGGGGCTCATCCCAGAGGCTGGTCTGCATAGAGGGGTAGTCGCTGAGTCACTAAATCATGTCCCACTTCTTACAACCCCATGAACCGCAGTATGCCATGCTTCCCTGTCCTTCACTGCCTCCCAGTTTGTTCAAACTCATGTCCATTGAGTCAGTGATGCCATCCAACCATCTCATCCTGTCGTCCCCTTCTCTTCCTGCCCTCAATCTTTCCCAGCATCAGGGTTTTTTCCAATCAGTCAGCTGTTCACATCAGATGGCCAAAGTATTGGAGCTTCAGCATCAGCCCTTAAAATGAATATGCAGGATTGATTTCCTTTATGAGTGACTGGTTTGATTTCCTTGCTGTCAAAGAGACTCTCAAAGAGTCTTCTCCAGCACAATTCAAAAGCATCTATTCTTCAGCACTCAGCCTTCACGGTCTAACTCTACACACATACATAACTACTAGAAAAACCATGAAAGTCTCTCAGTCATTATCTGACTCTGCAACCCCATGGACTGTGGCCTGCCAGGCTCCTGTGTCCACAGGATTTCCCAAGCAAGCATACTGGAGTGGGTAGCCATTCCCTTCTCCAGGGGATCTTATCGACCCAGGAATCAAGCCCAGGTCTCCTGCTTTGTAAGCAGATTCTTTACTATCTGAGCCACGCTTTAACCATGGCAAAGAGAGGGGCATGGCACCCACTGCCCAAAATGACGAAGTTCTCCTTGAGGGCTCCAACCCTCTCCCTCCCCTCTACTCCGTTCCCCAATAATATACAGAAAACCGTTAGCATCCAAAATCTTTTTAATAACAAGGTAGACTCTTCGGTTAGTTTTTGTAGCCACGGCTGGCTCGTCGGCCTCTGGCGCGCTCGAACTTCCGGCCCTTGGAGCGGACGTAGGGTCTGCAGGGAGAGAAGGGGCCCACATTAGAGTGAGTCAGGGGCTGTTGGGGGCTGCCAGCCAGCTGGGACTTCAGAAGAGATGTTTGCTCCAACAGAGCAGCACGGGGACACCCTCGGAGGGCCTCACGAAACTGAAGCAGGGTCAGAGGGGAAGCCTGGCAGTGCAGGAGGCCAGATGGCCAGGAGTGGCTGAAGGGTCTGCACTAGGCCCTGGGGGCGTCAACCAGGGCAGCCCAGAGCTGGACAAAATGCAGGCCCCACCTGAGGTGTGGATAGGCCCCGAAGAACCCACACCAGTGATGCTGACTGGGCAGGGAGCTCAATACCCGAAGAACAGAAATCTAAGCAGTCTTGAAGGAAAAGCGGAGAGTCTAGGCTGACAGAAACAGCTGAAGCGCAGCGAGGCTGGTGTGCAGGGCATACTCACTTGGTGTGGCTATGTGGGGTTCCTGGGGCCTTGCCGAAATGCCTGTACACCTCTCGGCCCTTGCGAGGACCTAGAGAAGGGGAGGAAGGGGCGGCTCAGGCTGATCCGGGCTGGGGTGTGTGTGTGTGGGGGCTGTCCTTGTCCCTGACCTCCCAGACCCAGAAAGGGGAAGGCTGCCAGGAGCCACACGGCCCGGCCCGAGCCACGAAGCACCACTCACCCGAGAGGAGGACGGTGCCGCAGCCCTTGGGGGAGTCCAGGGCCAGCTGGTCGAAGGTGAGGATCTTGCCCCCGGCCTTGAGGATGCGACTCCGGGCGCGGCTGCTTACTCGCAGAGCACACACCTAGGGGACAGAGAACGGGCGTGGTCAAAGCCCCCTGATGGTGGCCCAGGAGCCTCCGGTCCACTGCCCAGACCCAGCAGGAGTTCTGGCTGCTTTTTCTGCCTGGTAACCAACTACTGGAGGCAAACGTCTGAGCCATAAGAATGCAGCCACCCTTACCAGTTTACATCTAGAAACCCACTTGACACCGCAAACCAAAGCCAGTACACAGGTAAGAAAACCGAAACACAAAGAGAGGCGTCACTTTGTCCAGAGATGATAAAATGGCAGAGAAAGCCAGATGTGAATTCTACCTCAGAGCGAGCACCATCAGCACGGCCCCAGAAAGGGTTTGCCCAGGGACGCCCGCCATCAGTTACCCCCCTGCAATTCAGGCTTGATGCCTGCTTCACCCAGAGGCGAGACGAGCCTGACGGCGCCACAGCAGGACAAGGACCTCAGTGTGACCCACGCCGTGCTCCTGAGTCACACCTCCCCACGCACCTTCAGCTTGGGCACCTCCTGGACACGAACATCGTCAGTTACGGTTCCCACGACCACAGCTGTCTTGCCTTCCCGGCCAGGAAGTTTCATCTTCCGGATCTGGAATGGGTGCAGGGGAGGCGGTCAGTGATATACAAATTAAACAAGTCCCTTCTGGTGCTTAAATCCAATCCCACCGATTCAGGCATCCCAAGGGCCAACAGTTGTGCCCCGTCTGAGCTAAACCCATCCACACCACACCTCTCTAACTACCACAACAAGCCTAATCTCAGGTCCAGTCTGGGGAAACCTCCAAAAAAAATGCAAACAGATCTCTCCTACAGAAAGCTTTTGACACCTAGGACTTGTTCTAAGACTTCAAGCCTCAGGAAGATTTCATAAAAGACACTGTAAACTGCACCCCCCACCCCGCAACATGGTGAGAAAGAAAATGAGGCCAAGCCAGTCCAATGCTCCCACTATACAGCTTCCATCGGAGGGGTCAGAGTTCTGCACCCACCACTGGATGAGGTGAAGCCAGCTAATAGCCAGGCTGCTACCAGAGCTCCAAGCCCACCCTTCCTCTCGAAGTCGGGCTCCAGACATGACCCAGTTGCTCCCCCAGGTTGGCTATGCCCCAGCATCAGCCCCTCACCATTCGGGAAAGGGAGAGCGGTGGCCGGTTGGTGCGGCTCATGAACAATCTCTTTAGGACAACCTGATTGAAGGTGGAGTTGGTTCGTCTGGCCAGGAACCTGTACAGCTGGAGCGGAAGGAAAATGAAGAGTGAGAACCCAGGGCAGCCCAGCCTACCCCTCTCCCCCAGCTTTCTAACAAAGGGGCAAAGAGATGACTGAGGGCTTTCCCCCATCCCATAGAGTCCTAGGGAGAGCGTCCCGCCTGGCCAGGGACCCAGAACCCACCCCCCTCCCCGACCCCGCCGAGCTGTGAACAAGTCCAGAGACTGAGAACACTGGCATCTCCAGCAGCTCTGGAAAAGCAGCAGATCCGTGCCTGTGCTTCAGGTCCCCGCAGGGAGCGTGTGACTGAAACCAGCATGGAGGCTCTGAAGTTCTGTTTCTGGGGTGTCCTTGATGAGGGGTCTCTGGCCCCAACCTCACCTTGACCAACAGCCTCAGGTAAATGTCCTGGCTCTTGGGCTCCTTTCGTCGAACCTTTCGGTCCTTGTTGTGGCGGATGTCAACTCCCTGCAGGGGTGAAGGAAGGGAAGACCATGAACCCAACTCTCATTTGGCAGATTTCACATAAACATTTTCAATTATTCCTTACCTCTGAGAAACAGCTAAAAGCGCAGTCTCTGGAGATAACCAAACCCAGACCCACACTGAGAACAATCGGAAAATCACTGAAAACTCCCTGGGCCTCAAGTCAGTCTTTTTAAAAAAAAAAAAAACGGGGGGGAAGAGTGCTAATTTTACACAGTAAGCTGTCAGCTCAGAGCACAATGACCTTAATGGCACCCCTATTAACTCAAATTTTTAGTTCTTTAGCAGCTATGTTTTTCAAAAATGTTAAGTACCATTTAACCTCTCAACGCTTGTTCCAACATGTGGAGCGTTATCAGAAACACTTAAACCAAGAACTGACTTTATTATCATAAAGGCAATGAGCGTTTTTTTCCAAGTACTCTGTACAGAACCAATCTTAAAATGACTTTTCAAGCATTATCTCCTTGACTCCAAAAACCTGACCAGGTAGTTTCCCACGCTAGTGCTAAGAAAGCTGAAGGAAGCCCACAACTTCCATCACACCCTCTGCCTGCTTTCCTGCAAATTTCTTAGACTATGTCATGAACTGTAAAGTACTACTTGTCAATAACTCTCATTTATCCAGCATTTAGGTATGCAAAGATCCTTGGTGAGCACTTTCTGTGAGCACTTCTTACCGAACTCACATCTCTGAAACAAAATTACTGGGTCTCCAACGAACAGATGCTTTCCGGTCACAGGGAATGCAGTGGGTAGGGAATTGAATCTCGAACGGAAGCCCGCCTGGCTCCCAAACACGGGCACCAGCCGCTTGATGATTCCACCCCCCCCAGCACCCAACTTTCCAGGCTGGGGAGTGACAGAATACACGGGCAGCACACGCAAGAGTGGCTGTGGAACCAGCTTCTGGATCCGAATCCTGGCTCCGCCACTTACTGGAACTGTAACCCTGGTCATACTACTTAACCTTCTTGCCCCTCAGTCTGGTCATCTACGATGGGACCTATATAAGAGAGAAGTACAGGAAGGATGGGAGACTGAAGAAGCCCACCCCTGGCCTTCGGGCTTCCAAAACAGCTCCCCACTGTGGGAGTCGCCTCCTTCGAACACCCCTGAACCCCTGCCTCCCTCTGGAATGTCCCCAGCCCGGGGCCGCAGTGGATGGCAGCGGATGGTCAAACCCAGGACGCCGCAAAGCTAGCTCACCATGATGGCGACTCCTCCTTAGCCAGGTCCGGAAAGAGAGAGCAGACGCCGGATGGGCGGGGAAAGCCTTCAGCGTGTGGCGCCTACCTGACATCACTTGGGCGACGCGGCGCTCTACTATGACTCACGCCTCTCTATGGTGAATCAGAAGGCTAGCTAGGTGGGCGTTTCCGGAATTGAGTGGAGAAAACATCTAAAGGGGAACAAGGGCTGCGCCAAGGACGGAAGGACCCGCACGTCGGGGGCCTCTCTAGCCCTATCCACGCCCTGTTCTTGATAGTCTTCCGGAAGAAAAGGCTCTCGGAGCGTGAGAGATGTCGCGCGGAGCTAGTAAGAGGTGTCGCGCGGTGACGCTCTGGCCCGACGCCGACGGCCTCTCTGTGGCTCCCGGAGGACCCAGAGAACCGAGTATTAGAGGTGAGGAGGCGGGGCTGTCTGGCTAGTCTGGACCTCAAGGAAACCTCTGACCTCAAGCTTTGGGCGTTTCCTCAGGAGGCTCTCCTCTGTCTTATTGCTTGCTACGCCTCTCAGCTGCGGCTGCAGCTCGGGAAGTCTTACTTGAGATGTAACCCGAGATCATCTTGCTGCAGCCTCGTTTGTGGCACCCTGTATTTCCAGTTTTTAGGTTCACCTTCTCCCTCTGCCCTCAGATGGCCCTTCCCTGAACCCTACTCGCCCCTGCCATCGGGAGGCTGCTTTTCCCAGCGGGAAAGATTCAGGTGGTCCAGCGTGTTTCAGTTTGAGGGATGTGCACCGTACTGGAGCGTAGAGGAGGCAAGCTGAGGCCCCCCTCCCCGGGCTTTGGGGATGGGGTGTAGAGAGGGGATGGGTTAAAAAAAAAAAAAACAACTCCTGAAAGAGAGGGAGGGGAGCCTTAGAGGGAGACAGAAATTCGGAGAGGAGGAGGAATGGAGACTGAGAAGGGGAGTGGACAGAAAGCGAGGGTGATGAATTGGTGACGCGGGAGAGTGAGAAGACCTAGAAAGAGGAAAGGTGGAGATCCAGAGAGAGCAAAGACATAGAAAGATGGTGATATCGTTTGTAAGCTAATTCAGTTCGTGGCTTTGCTGTTAATACTTACTAATGGCGTGACCTTGGGCAAGTCGTGTAACTTCTCCGTGCCTTACTTTTTTTATCTGGAAAAGGGTGATGATGGTAGAACTGGCACATAGAGTGTTTTGGAGCATTTAGCTTAAAAATTAGTTTAAAGCTCAGGACAATGTTTGGTTCATAATAAGTGCTTGCTAAAAATTAGTATCTATTCTTGTTACTGACTTTACTGGATGGGACCAGATGGACTGGTTGGGGCAGTGATAAAGCGTCTTCCTTGTGGAATCTCTGCCTCTAGGACCCGCAGTATTCCTATACTCTGTCCTTCAGGCTCCTACTTACCTCTTCACAGAGCCACAGACCAAACCTGCACCATGAGCCCTGACTCCTTGCCCATACCACCTACCCATGGCCTCCGAACCAGGCCCAGTGTCTGGCTGATGTGGTAACAGCGGAGGACCAGCAGGTGAATGGACACCTTGAAGCAGAGGAGCGGCAGGACCAGGTAAGGATCTATGTGAAAGTCAAGATAACCATACCATGGGACAGTTTTCTTCTCCTCCTTGTCCCTGTGTCTTGGTCTTTGAGTCTCAGTCTCTTTGATCACTGTATCTTTCTTTTCCCTGGAGCTCTAAGCACACACTGTGTTTCTCGGTCTCTCCATCTTACTGGGTGTCTGTCCCTCTCTCAGGGTCATTCTTTGGCACATGTTATTTGGTGCTGTTGCTATTCTCAGTTGAACACTAGGTACACTGTTTTGCAATAAATGAGCTTCATCCTCCATTTATCTCTTTGTGGCACAAGAGTCGGACACGACTGAAGTGACTTAGCAGCAGCAGCAAGCTCAGTCCCTATCTCCTTCAGCATGTGTCTTTCTTTCTACAATTCTGTTTCTAGGTCACCTGATATTATTCTTGCCTTATTTCTTTCTGTTTCCCTGTGTCTTTGCCTCTCTATGTCTCTTTGTCATCATCTTTGCTTTCTGTCTCTTGGTCTCAGTGCCTCTCAGCCTCCAACATTCTCTCTGTTCCTCACCCTTGACCGAGAGATATATCTCTCAGATACTGTCTCTCCCATTCTCTTTCCTCTGTTTCTGTCTTGCCGTTTCACTGGGCAAATATTTATGCCATGATGTCCCCATTCCAGTTTTTGCCCAAGGTAAACAGTTTGTGAATTAATGAGCCTCTCCTTCCTGGTTTTCATTCCAAAAGTGGCTGTCCCCATCTCTGTATGTGTCCATCATATTCTGGGTTTTCTTATGTCCTTACCTTGCACATTCTTAATTCTGTTGTCTTTGTTTGCTTATCTGTTTTCTGCTTTATGTCTAAGTGTGTTACTGCCTCTGCCTCTGCTTCTCTTTTACTGTTTTTGCATAACTCTGCTCTTTGTTAGATGTGTTAAGATCATTCTCTATCTGCAGTTAAAGACCTCCTCCCCCACGCCCCCTTCTCTTTTATAAACTCAAAGGATGGGACAGGCCCAGGTGCCCTCAATAAAGATGGCGACAGGGGCGGTGGCCATAGGACCGTGTAGCCGCCTCTGCTGCGCCTGTGCCCTCACCTATAATGGCGGCTGATCTCGCGAAAGGCGATACCCCGCCTAGTTCTCCAGCGCTTCCGCAGGTCCCTGAGCAAAGCTCGCGAGTCGACTGGTCACGCCCCGCACGCTCTCATTGGTGCAATTCAGGCCGGCTGCGCGGCCATTGGCTGAGCGGATGCACACCCTCCCCCCCACCCCTAGGTCTGGTGCGGACAGTTGATGATGACTAGAGGAGCTGTGTGAAGGAGGACCCGGCGTGTGAGGAGGGCCCGGGGCCGGGACATGGACCCAAGTCAGCAGGACTCAGGGACCAAGAGGAACGTATACGTAGGCCCGAGACTGGGGTACTAGTGGTGTGGGGTGGAGATGGAGAACCAGAACCAGGACTGAGAGATCCAGGAATGAAAACTCAGGTCTGGAACCAGGTTCTGGAAATGGGGTGGGGATGAAGGCCTGGAACCCGGGGAACCAGAGACAGAGACTTATGCTTATTGATTGGGGGGAACCTGTGGATGAAGACCAGGCCAGCAGCCTGGGGACCTAGGGACACAATCGCAGGCCAAGGACTGGGGGAGATCTAGGGCTCCATGCAAGCGGATTTAAGGTAAGGGGAGGGGGGCGCGGTCAGTGCAAGTTTATGGGTGAACCTTGAAGAACCCCCCTGGGTAGGAGACAGAGGTCGCTCCTAAGAGTGAGTCCACAGATGGGGGTGTTTCTGGCGCAGTTCTGGGCCTGGGGTAGGTGAGGGGCAGAACTGATAGGTGACCAGGTGGGCGGGGCAGGGGGAACAAAGGTGAGCAGGAAGGAGGAGGCAGAAACTGGGCAGAGGGCAGGGGGAGGGGATCTCAGGCCCAGCTCCCAGCCTCTCCCTGGAGAGCAGGCGGCCAGACACCCAGGTCAGTGCTTGAGGTTCACCTCTTGGCCTCCGTCCCTTGCAGGTTCCCACATGTGGCTCTCCCTATCCAACCCCTTAATCCCTCCATGTCACACCCCTTTCTCAGTCTTTCCAGATACTGCATCCCCTATCTCCTGCCTCTTCTGTGTCTTTCTGATTCTTGGTGCACCCCTGGAGCCCCTACACTCTTCTTGCTATCTAAATATCTTTCATTGTATTAGGTTTGATCTCACTGAAGCTGTTTGTGTCCTCTCAGTGTTTCTCTGGTCTCAGACCTTTTTCTCTGTGTCTGAGTGTGTGCATGTGTATGTTTGCTCAGTAGCTCAGTCGTGTCTGACTCTCTCTGACCCCTTGGACTGAGGCCCGCTAGGCTTCTCTGTGGAATTTTCCAGGCAAGAATACTGGAGTTGGTTGCCATTTCCTACTCAGGGGATCTTCCCGATCCAGGAATCGAACCCACAGCCCTTGCATCTCCTGTACTGACAGGCAGACCCTTTACCACTGAGCCACCAGGGAAGCCCCATTGGCACATAGTATTGAATAATTATTGGGGGAATAAAGGAATGAATCTTTGCATGCCTGGGTGTGGACCCTCCAGGATGCTGGCCTTCTTGTCCACCTGACCTCTGCCCTGTGTCCTCAGGGTCTTCCCACACTGTGTCTGGGCCTGTCTCCCTCTGGTGCTTCCACCTCGCCTGTTGGCACCCCTCGCCTCGCTGTCTCCTCCTGTCCACAGGCCCTGCCCGTGCTCCCCTCTGCCCACCATGGGGCTCCTGGACTCTGACTCCTGCCCTCCTTCCTCCCCCACAGAGGCCAGAGCAGGAGCTGACCTGGAGCTGGGGCCACCGGCCTAGAAGCGCCCTGGACAGGGTCAAGGCCATGGCCCCCCCACCGCCACTGACCCCCAGCACCCCACTCCTGCATGGCGAGTTTGGCTCCTACCCAGCCCGCGGCCCACGCTTCGCCCTCACTCTCACACCACAAGCCCTCCACATACAGCGGTTGCGCCCAAAGCCCGAGGCCCGGCCCCGGGGTGGCCTAGTCCTGCTGACCGAGGTCTCAGGCTGCTGCACCCTGCGGAGCCGAAGCCCCCTGGACTCAGCAGCCTACTTCTGCGTCTACACCTACCCCAGGGGCCGGCGTGGGGGCCGGCGCAGAGCTGCACGCACCTTCCGGGCCGACGGGGCAGCCACCTACGAGGAGAACCGCGCTGAGGCCCAGCGCTGGGCCACGGCCCTCACATGTCTGCTCCGTGGACTGCCACTGCCTGGGGACGGGGGTGAGGCACTGGGCAGCCTCTCTGTCCTAAGGCCACCTCGGTGTCTCTGCGGATCTCCCTCTGTGGGCATCTCTGTGTCTCCTTTTCTGTGTGTCTGTCTGTGTGATGTGTCCCTCTGGCTTCGTACTGAAAGAGTGATATACAGACAGGGATGGGCTATAGAAGGAACAAAATCACAGGCAGAGGAGTCATGTTTGCTGCTCTTGCAAGATTTCAGTCTCTGTTCCCTTCCCTTTCTTTGGGTCCTGACCACAGATGAGTCAGAGCTCCTGGGCTGGTGAGAGCAGCCAACTGAGACATGCTCCTAGGCCTGGAGATGGCATCTCATTCAGCTCTGGTTGGGGGGTGGGGGGAATCAAAGAAGGCTCTTGGGCAGAGACCCCCACCCAGGGTACTCAGATGGCATAAGGAGGTAAAGGTTCTGTGGTCCCCAGGTGGTGGGTTTTCCTTGGTCCTGACTGCTTCCCACAGTGGAGTAACCTGACCCGGGGCCCAGGTGTTTGGGGGTGTGGAAGGTGGAAACCACAGCTTTCCTCCTTCCTCCCTGGAGTCCACAGGGCACGGGGATTAGACTCCCCAGCACTGCCTTTGTCTCCTCACCTGGGGGCGGTGGGTGCACGGGGCTGTACACCTGGGCCTGAGCTGGTGAGGCCTGGGAGGAAAAAGCTGGACTTCCAGGTTTTGATGCCAGCCCTCCACCAGCTCCTTTGGGGCTATTTGCAGTTCCTGTTTCTGAAGTGAGGGGCCTGGGTCCCTGACCTCTGTAGACTCCTTCCCTTCTCTCTGCAGACATTACCCCCGACCTCCTGCCGAGGCCGCCCCGTTTGCTCCTATTGGTCAATCCCTTTGGGGGGCGGGGCCTGGCCTGGCAGTGGTGTAAGAACCATGTGCTGCCCATGATCTCCGAAGCGGGGCTGTCCTTCAACCTGATCCAGACAGGTAAGGGCGGTGTTAGGAGGGAGGTGGGAGCTGGGGGCTAGAGCTCCAGAGTCCGGGGGCGGGTGGTGGGTTCGGACGCGTGGAAGAGCCCGCCTCACTTCTGGTTCCCCATGTTAGAACGACAGAACCATGCCCGTGAGCTGGTCCAGGGGCTGAACCTGAGCGAGTGGGACGGCATCATCACGGTCTCGGGAGATGGGGTGCTGTATGAGGTAGGGGAGGACCACCCTTCCTCAAGCCTGTGCCCGGGGGCACCGCGGGGCCAGGACCAACACCCAGGTGTCCGGTCTCCCACCCTCCAGGTACTGAATGGACTCCTACAACGCCCCGACTGGGAAGAGGCTGTGAAGACCCCCGTGGGCATTCTCCCCTGTGGCTCGGGCAACGCGTTAGCAGGAGCTGTGAACCAGCACGGGGGGTAGGTGGGAGGAGCCCTCCTGGGATAAGGGGCCTAGTCCATCTGCTACGCAGCCCTCCCCCACTCCCTCAGCATTTTTGCCTGCCTTGTTCCAAGCGGTCTCCCTAGTGCCTAGAACTGTGCCTGGCACACAAGAGGCACTCAGTGAATGCTTCTGCAGTGAAAGACCTGACAGGGAACCTGGCTCAGTAAGAAGAGCCCGCCTGGAGGTAGCCAGATGGCTGTGGGTGGGCCAAGACCTGGCCCCCCCACCCCCACCCCCCGTCTGCTTCCCTGTCCCTCTGTGTCCTGTCCACACCCCTCCCACCTGGCCCGGGAACGGAGTGTCTCACCAGCCCTGTTTACTCTTTCCTGCTGTGTCTGTCCATGTCTGATTGTGAAGATTTGAGCCGGCCCTGGGCATTGACCTGCTACTCAACTGCTCCTTACTGCTCTGCCGGGGTGGCAGCCACCCTCTGGACCTGCTCTCCGTGACTCTGGCCTCCGGCTCCCGCTGTTTCTCTTTCCTGTCTGTGGCCTGGGGCTTCGTGTCAGACGTGGACATCCAGAGCGAGCGCTTCAGGGCCCTGGGCAGTGCTCGCTTCACCCTGGGCACAGTCCTGGGCCTTGCCACGCTGCACACCTACCGTGGCCGCTTCTCCTACCTCCCTGCCACCGTGGAACCTGCCTCGCCTAACCCTGCCCATGGCCTGCCAAGGGCCAAGTCAGAATTGACCCTAGCCCCGGCCCCGGCCCCAGCCGGGGCCCACTCACCCCTGCATCGCTCAGTGTCAGACCTGCCCCTGCCCCTGCCCCAGCCTGCCCTGACCTCCCCTGGCTCACCTGAACCCCTGCCCATCCTGTCCCTCAACGGTGGGGGCCCAGAGCTGGCTGGGGACTGGGGTGGGGCTGGGGATGCTCCACTGTCCCCGGACCCACTGCTGCCCTCGCCCCCGGGGACCCCCAAGGCAGCTCAGCTCTCACCCATCAGCGAGGGGCCCTCAGAAATGGCAGCATCCTCTGGGCTCCCACCTCCCACCCCTGGCGCCCCGGTAGCCACCTATGCTGGGGGACCACCTGACCACCTGCTCCCTCCTCTAGGCACTCTGCTACCCCCAGACTGGGTGACAATGGAGGGAGACTTTGTGCTTATTTTGGCCATCTTACCCAGCCACCTGGGGGCTGACCTCGTGGCGGCCCCCCACGCGCGCTTTGACGACGGCCTGGTGCACCTGTGCTGGGTGCGTAGCGGCATCTCGCGGGCGGCGCTACTGCGCCTGTTTCTGGCTATGGAGCGTGGTAACCACTTCAGCCTGGGCTGTCCGCACCTGGGCTACGCCGCGGCTCGTGCCTTCCGCCTCGAGCCACTCACGCCTCGCGGAGTGCTCACGGTGGACGGGGAGCAGGTGGAGTACGGGCCATTGCAGGCGCAGGTGCATCCTGGCCTTGGTACATTGCTCACGGGTCCTCCAGGCTGCCCTGGGCGGGAAGCCTAAACCCGACCAAGTTTGGAGCCCGCCAAGGGCGGGGCTTACATTCCCAAAGGGGCGGAGCCCGAGCTAGGGGGCACGGCGAGGCTGCTGGAGTTCGCGCGGAAGCCGCACACCGGTCCCAGCCACGTCTCGGGATTGCGCCCTACCCTAGGGGACCAGAGGTGATGCCGGAAGATGTCCCGAACTCCAGGGGCTTGGGGTCGGCAGGGTCACGGAGAAATGGGGTCGCTCCAAGGGTAGTGCCTGATCAATGAAGGCGGGATACACTCTAGGTCCTCGCGCCCGGCTCGTAGAAAGCCAGGTCGGCTGAGGGCGGAGCCTGTCTTAACGCGTCGTCCAGTGACGCGACCTGGAATGTACGGGCCGGGGAGGCCTTAGCTAATTGGCCCTGTCTTCTCCGGTGCCTCCACCAAGCTGGCCAATCAGCCCGGGAGGGGCAGGTTCCCCCGGGCCGGCGCTCCGATTTGCACTAATGTTCCTCTACCCCTGGGTGGGGAAGTTCGTATCCTGTCTTCTGTGCGTTCCCCCTGCCCCAATCTTCAAAGCAATTGAAAAGGTCTATGCAATAAAGGCAGTGGCTTCATTCCTCTCAGGTCCTCGCCCCTTCCTCCATCCGGCAGCCCATGGGAGGGATCGGACTCTGGGCACTCCTGCCTTTTACGGACCGAAGCCCAGACCTGCCCATGGGCTGCGGCCAGCGGAACCCGCTGGCCTTTAACTAGGGCCAGGGAGCTGCCTCCTCCCCCACGACAGCTGGCTCTGGGGTTCTCAAGATTTATTCAGGATCGTGTTAACGGAGGCGATGGGAGGATGGGGGACACACTGAGGACCCTCCCCGCCCCCGTGAGGGAGCGGGGAGGCTCGCTTTTTCTTAAAAATATAAATGTATTTATCTGCATCATCATGTCCCTGGGGCACCCAGCTGGCCGGCCCGTGGGCCACAGGGCAGGGAAGGGAAGAGGGTGTCAGGGCACAAGTCTGAGCGAGGCGGAGGAGAGCTCCGCCTGGGGTGGGGGTGGGGGCGGCCTCACAGGGCTCCGTGCTGGGCCTGGTATCGGGACAGCACAGCGCGGTAGTGCGACAGCTCCTGGCGCACGGCCACCACCTCCTGCCGCAGCAGGGCGTTCTCCTTCTCCAGGAAGGCCGCCCGCACCGATATCTGGTTCTCCTTGAGCCTCCGGGCGTCGCGGGACCGCTTGGCTGCCTCGTTATTCTTGTACCGTCGGCTCCAGTATTTCTCGTCCTGGGTGGGCAGGAAAGCACCGAGGTCCAGAGGGGCCCAGCCCCATCGAGAGAAGGGAGCAACAGCTTTGCTTATGCCTTCTGGGACCAGACTACAGCTAGGAGAGCCCCCGCCACCCCGGGGGCTGCTTCTGGCGCAGCAGTGGGGTACCAGGTCTCCAGTGGATGGGTACCCAAGGGTCTGGCCTTCTAGGGCCCTGGTTGCTAAGGAAAGTGGGCCCATAGCAACAGTGAAGGCAGGAGATAGCCTCCTACCTTAAGCAACTGAGCTTTATAGTCTCCACTGTGCAAAGCAGACCCAAGCTCTTCTCACTTGACAAAAGGCCTGCAGTTAGCTCCCTGATTTGCTAAGGATACCAGTTCCCTAGCAACAAGGCCTTCAGGGCCTGAGGGCGTCTCCTAGTGAAAAGCGCCATACATCACCTTTTCAGATCCTGGTTGCTGGGCTTCCTAGTGATGGGGTTTGGTGTCCCATAAACACCTCTCAGAGCTGGGCCCTTCTGACCTGGTTGCCAAGGCGACCTTATCCCTCCTCAGCAAACAAAAGTGAGGTATGAGTGGTCCCAGTGACCACAGCCAGGCTCTGATGCATTGGCTGGATTACTGTCTTGTTTTTGGCCACACAGTGCATGCAGCATGCAGGATCTTAGTTCCCCAACCAGGAACCAAAACTGTGCCCTCTGTGTTGGGAGCTCGGAGTCTTAACCACTGGACTGCCAGGGAAGGTCCCTCTGACCCAGTAACTTTGCATAGAGGCCAGGGAGTTGCCTCCTCCCAACAGGCCCTGGTTGCAAAAGGGTCTGTCCCGACATCTTCCCACACCATCATGTTTAGAGTTCTCCAGTCCTTGAATTTGGCTGTGAGGGAGGACCACCCCTTAGTAACAAGGACCACCCAGAGCTCTGAAAGATGCCCCTGCAACTCATGCCATTAAAGGCTAGTGCCTGGTTGCTAGAGCAAATCCAGTCCCTGACAACAGAGCCCTGTGGCAGGAGAAACCATTGGGCTAGATTTGGTTTACAGGCCAGTACTCACTGGGCTTCCCTGGTGGCGCTAGTGGTAAAGAACCGGTTTGCCAATGCAGGAGACACAAGAGATGTGGGTTCGACCCCTGGGTCAGGAAGATCCCCTGAAGGAGGGCATGGCAACCCACCCCAGTATTCTTGCCTGGAGAATCCCATGGACAGAAGAGCCTGGAGGGCTACAGTCCATGAGGTCGCAAAGAGTTAGACATGACTGAAGTGACTTAGCACGTACTCACTCACTGGTTCAAGTAGTTATGTCTTACACAAGGACATAGCAAAGTCTTGTGAGACCAGGCCCAGGCACCCCTTTTAGGGAAGACCCCAGGCCTCGAAAAGACAGAGTGCTAGAAAGATGCAGTTACTGCCCCAAGTACCTCAAATTGGAATGTGGCCCTGGCTGCAAATGAGAACCTGAGGCCTCTCACCAGTGATCCCAGAAAACAAGGCCTAGAGGGGCTGGCAAAGTCTTCATCCTAGGCAGATGCAATTGCCTTGAAAAAGTGAAAGTCGCTCACTTGTGTCCGATACTTTTCGACCCTGTGGACTGTAGCTAGGTAGGCTCCTCTGTCCATGGAATTTGCCAGGCAAGAATACTGGAGTGGGTACCCATTCCCTTCTCCAGGGGAATATTCCCAACCCAGCGATCAAACCCAGGTTTCCTACATTGCAGGCGGGTTCTTTACTGAGTCACCAGGGAAGCCCTGTTGCCCTGAAGGATGCCCCAAAGCAGACCAACCCCAGCCAAGCTGGCTGCTCAGAAGAAACAAGCTGATACCCCATTCTGAAGGGATGCGATCCTGAGCAAGTGTACTGACTAGTAGGCCCTGAAGCCTGCCACAGTGAGGGTGTTGGGTCCAATTGATAGGAGAAACTCCAAGCCTGTAAAACCAGTCCCAGCAGGGCTGGCTGAGTCTGAGTCCCACAATGATTCCCTTTTCACAAATCTCGAGCCCAAACCTCTGCCCCCCCACCCCCACCCCGCCCCGTGCAGCTGCCCATGGTCCTTGGCTGTAGGTTTGAAAACGTGAGTACTATCCTGGTGAGAAACCCAGGTCTGACAGTGAAAAGAGGGCCATCCCGGGCTGTGGGGCCAGCATGCACAAGCCTGTGTCCCACACCCAGCAACACTCACCTTCTGCTCCTCTGGCACCTGGATCTTCCGAGCCTTCTTCATGATTGGCTGGGGCTTGAGTTCCTCTTCGGAGAAGCGGTGTCTCCGAGGGTCAAAGGTCTCATGGCCGGGAATGCTGGACAGGGCTAAATCTGCTGGGTCAGGCTCAAAGGTCATCAGCACCTCCACCGTATCTGGGTCCACAGGGCTGGGTGTGTCCCGAGAGGTCAGACCTTGGGGAAATAGAATGTACCACCTGAGGGCGTAATTATTTGGGGAAAGGGGTTCCCCAGAGGCTACCAAGGAAGGTCCTTTATGGGGGTCAAACATAAAGCCCACCAGGGATTAACCTCCCTAATATAAAATATGAAGGTTCCCTAAGCCACAAAGATGCTTAGCAGTCATGAAACCAACTCCCACTTGCCACACAGGAAAACCAAGGCCCAATGCTATGTGACTTGCCCTAAGTAGCACAAGAACCTGGATCATTGCTTCTAAAAACCTCAGGACTTTAGAGTTAGCTTCTTTCCTACAGTCCTACCCTTCTTAACTGAATCCCCGACCAAAGCCTAGATCCCAAGGAAAAGTGTCCTGATGACACTTCAAGTTAGCTTCTTAAGAGTTATTAAGTCCGAAGAGTGAGGAAGCATAATGAGGTTGGTTCAAGCGTAAAGACTGCCTGTATCTTTAAGAGAGCGCCAGTCGGGGCCAACTGAGGACACAGGTTCAGGGCCGAGTCACGTGCTGGCGCCTGCTTCCCGCCCTCCCCCCCCCTCCCCCCCCCCCTGCGCCGCCGCCACAGGCGCCCTCACGTTTCTCCAGTCCCGCCCCCTCTCTCGTGATCGCGCGTGCGCGAAGCACGGAGCAGGGAGGACTCACGTGGCGCGGGAATGTGCGGCTGGGAAGGGGAGGGCTTTAGTCCTGCAGGGAGGTCGGGACCAGGATCAGGTGTGTCCGGGAATCCCCGACCTGCTGTCCGACCCTGGCAACCCCAGGGTGCCCACCTTTCCTCTTGCTTTCTGGGGTCTCAGCTCTCAACCTCAAGGCCCCTCTGCTCTCACGGAATACTAGAGGACGGCCCCCCTCTAAGTTCTCAGGTCCCAGACATTCTCGCCACTGGGATAAGCACGATTCTGGGACCCCAGGGCACCCCTTGCAGGAATATAGAAAGCTCAGTCCTTGCCCCAGTCAATGAAAGACCTAGGACGACGATCCCTTCTGAAGGACTCCCGGGATCCGGGGTGCCCGCCTCTCTCCACTAGGGGGACCGAGGAAGCAGGGCCGCCAGTCCTTTTTGTCCTGGAGAAACAGGTCTGTGCCCAGCCCTTGTCTTTCTCGCAAAGGGCCTAGGAGTTCCGGCCCTACCCCAGTTGCACGGATTCCGGGCCCAGATTTTGGGGCGCAGTCCAGAATAAACTCCGGTAAATAACTCCGGTGTTCTGGAATCTCAGTCCCGACTCCTCGAGTATTCAGACCCTTTGTCCTCACGTCCCACATAAAAGTTCACACGACCTCACCACTGGGCAGGCTTCCTGGAACTTGGGGTCCCAAGTCCCTCATCTCCTATAGGGGTCCGGGAGACCCAGTTCCCTGATCCACTAAGGAACACAAAATCTGGACACATCTCTAGACGTCTCCCGATTAGGGGTCACGGACTTCGGGCAAGCAGCCCCAGAACCACCGTCCCAAACCCTTGTCGCACAGCCCCGCCCTCTGGAGCCCAAGCCCCACCCAACCGGCCCTGCCTCGCCCCCGCAGTCGCACCTGCGCGGTGGCCGCCGGCGGCCCCGAGGGCAGCCCGGGCGGGGGCGTGCCCGGGCGAAGAGCGAGGGGAGGCCGAGCCGCAGGAGCCGGGCCCCGGGGAGGGTGCGGGAGTGCGCACCGGTGAGGGCGCTGGCGACGGGCCGCCCGGGGGCGGCGGGCTGGGAGGGAGCCCGTGCTCCAGCAGGAAGGCGTCCAGGTCCACGTACTCCACGTCGCCGAACGGCAGTGTCCGCTCCCACAGTAGCGGCGCCAACAAACCCGGGCCGGGCGCAGCCCCCGGGCGTCCCCTAGGGGACCCGCCGCCCACCACCGCCCCAGCTGAAGCATCCGCCGGGCCCGCCGTCTCCAGGCCCGGCCCGGGGACTGTAGCCGCTGGCGGGGGCGCCTTGCGCTCCTTTTCCTTCAGGAGACCTGCGGGCCAGGGAAAGAGAGGGCAGGGTGGGGAGGAAGAGGAAGATAAGATAAGAGATAAAGAATCAACTCCGAGTGGAGAAACGCGAGGAACGAGGGGATAGATCCCCGCACCGCAGAGATCCAGAGAGCGGGGACACAGAAAGGAGGGGGGAGAGAGACCGGAGAACGAGAGCAAGGACCCAGAGAGAGGAGGAAACAGAGGCTCAGAGACGGAGAGAGACCCAGAAAGCAAGAACAGAGACGGGGACGGTGGACCAAGAGAGGGGCGGAGATTCAGAAAGAGCCGAGGACACGGATGCAAAGAGGGATGGGGAAAGAGACCCAGGAAGGGGAGCGGAAATTCAGACAGAGGTAGGTGGAGGGTTGGGCAGGTGAGAGAAAAAAATGACCACTCTGTAATCTACAACCCCCTCCCCTCCACCACACACACACCCGGCGCACAGTACCCCCTTCTCCCCGCCTCCACACTCTTTAAAGGGGCAGGAAGGGGCTCTATTCCTGGGGCACATTCCTCATCCCTAGACGCCATGTGACCCCAGGAGGCCCCGCCCAAGCCCGTGTAACAACCGTGTGAGCCTTCGACACACCCCCTCCCTTCTCCCTGGACCCCAGGGGTCCAGGCGCTCGGAACCAAAAGGAAGACGGGGCTGGGGCCTAGAGTCTTCAGTCCTCGGGTGGACTGGCATGAGGGCCGGTACTTTTGGGTCCTGGGACCTAGGGGTCTAAACACCTAAGTATTTGGGTATTTAAAGGTTGGACTTTGGGTATTTAAAGAGGATGGACTCTTGGCACTTAGAAGGTAGCTGGGGACCCCTCCCCGCACTTGAGTCCCTAAGGGAGTACGGTGTCTGAGTTGGGTGAGATGGGGGCTAGAACTCACAGCTAGTTGGCTCTTTGGGCTTGCTGGTCCCCTGCAGAAGGCTTCGCAGCCCAAGCAGCGCTCCCCCACCAGGGGGGGCTCCAGTCGGGCCTCCCAGCAGCAGGGGGGCCGGGGTCCTGTCGCTCACAGGCCGCGCCATCGCCTGGCACCTGCCCGCAGGCTCACGGATTCATGGAGAGGCGAACAGCTGGCTTGCCAGTCAGCGGCACACTCCGATGGTTCGGGCAGGTGTCTGCCCAGAGGCGGGCGAGCGTAGCTTGCAAGCCTCCAGTATCCAGAATACTGCAAATCCTAGGAGCGACGGGGATTTGCAGTCCTTGGTGCAGAAACGTGCAACTCAAGAGGGTCCCAGAAGAGCATACAGTCTGGGTGAGGGGGTGATCAAATCAGGCGGCCGGCTCTTTGCAACTGAGAGTTCAGGGGGACACAAGGCGCTCCTTCTACAAGGTGGGCGAGCCTAGCTCTTGCAAAATCTGCGGCTCTCTCCAAGGAAGGAGCTTTGCAATCTGCACCGAGAGGTGTGCACGGACCGCCGGGGGAGAGGGCAGAGGGAGGCGGCTGCCTTGAGGCGTGGCCAAAGCAAACTTCTTTCGCGGAAAAAAAAAAAAAAAAAGCCAAACCAAAACACCCGACGCCACAGAGCACACCCCTCCTCTCAGCCCCCACCCGACTCTGGCCTTGCACCCCAGCCGCGTGCCTCCCTCCAGCTGAAAGCGCGGGCCAATCGCGTCCTGACCCCTCTAGACGCACAGCCAATGGGACCCCTGGATCCGCCAAGGCCCAGAAGTGCGAGAGAGGGGTTCAGAGCGTGAAGTTACCTTGCCTTTTGGAGGGAGGCGGGACCCTGACCTACATTTACCCAATGGGAGATGGCTCTGGGGGCGGGACCGTGACCCAGTTCGGGCCAATGAGGCAGACGGGAGGGGGAAGCACATGGCTCTGCGCGTGCTGCTTGCCCGGGAGGGTGGGTAACTGGGTGGGAGGGGAGAAGCACTGCTTAAAGGAGCCACACATCCAAGTAACTCGGGAAACCGGAAGCCAAAAAATCGACTAGTGGGGTTTAGGAAGAGGGCGATGGTTTCTAGAAGAAGGCTACTATTCTTTAGTACCCAAATGTTTCCCCGCCATGCCTAGAATGAGACCACGGAGATACAGGAAGTATTCTGTCCCTTTAATAGCTTTGTTTTGGGGGTGACTACCCTCCCCGTGTGGGGAGGCTTGGGAAAGGCAGGCGCAGTCCTCGATGGGGAGTCTCAGCGACCATGGGGGGCACCATCCACTGTAAGATGACACGGGTAGAGGACGTTAGTTTAGGGCAAGATAGGATGGACCTTACAGGGGGCGTGCAAGGGGCGGGTAGGGGGCGGGGGGGGGGGTGTGGGCCACGCGGGGCTCTACCACAGGGAGGCTGCAAAGGGGTGAATCGGAATGTACCAGGTTGACAAGCTGGGGGAAACGGCCAGGTTGCCTGGCACTGGGCTGAACCATAGCGGGGCAGCAGGAGGGTGGAATAGGGACATCCAGTTTCAGCATTAGGCTGAACTACGTGAAGGTATTCATGGGGAGGTCTGGGCTGTACCATGTTGAGAAGCCAGCGAGGTGGACTAGATCACGGGACTGAACCACGAGGAGGCAGTAGGGGGAAAAGGGGAGTGTACCACGTTGTGTTTTTTTTTTTCAGTAAGGGACGTGCCAGATTATGGAACAGTATAGGGTTGTACTTCATGAAAACAGGGGAAAGGGTCTGGGCTGTACCATTTCGGAAAGCCCTAGTTATAAGAACCACGGACCAGTACAGGATCGTACCATAAGGAAACCAGGGGGCTCGGGTTATACACCGAGTTGCAAGTTGCAGGCAGAGTGAAGAATAGCAAATCACGGACCTGCAATGGTCTATGACAGGAAGGTGGGCTGTACCACTTTGACACAAAGGGAGAAAGAGCGAGGGAGAGTTCGAGACTGGGTCACACAGAAGCAGCAAGGGAGGGGTTGGACTGCATCATATTGAAACATCAAGGGGAGACACATAGGTGGGTTAGACCAAGACGTGGAAGGGGTTGCGGACTGCATCATACCATGCAGGCGGTAGTTGGGGCCTCGGCAGCGCCTCTCGGGGTGCCGGGGGTCCCTGTTGCCCCTCAAGGCCCTGTGGGCCAAGGGCTGCAGGGGCCGGCCGTTACCGCTGAGGCTCTGGAAGATCTGGGACGGAGGATTCTGGCTCAGAAGTCTCAGGGAGTGCATCTGCCACGAAAGCGGGGTGGGAAACTGGGAGTGAGTAATGAATAACCCTGGAAGCAGCGGGCAGGAAGCCCCGCCCCTGGAGGCGAGTGGGCGGAGTCTTGCTCAGCCCCGCCCCCGACAGCCCCAGGACGGTCGGACCCTCGAATCCCCTCCAGTTCCCTGTCAAGCGAGGGTAAAAGGGTAGGTGAGGCAAGGGGGCACCCAGGCCAAGGAACGGGTTGGGGGCTGGCAGGGAGGGGGGGGGAAATGGGCTGACAGGGTCACCTGGAGGGAGGTGATATTGAGGGCCCTGTCAATGAGGATCCAGGTAACAGTCTCCGAGCAGGGTGGGGTGCTGAGAGAGCCCTGATAGGTGATGAAGCCAAAGGACTCAGGGAACAGGAGCTCCAGGCTCAGATCTTGAAGAAAGTAGGCATCATCTGCAGGAATATCAGGTCAGAGTGAAGACGGATGTCCCTGCAGAACTCCCCTATGTGCATAAACCATCCTCCATCCACCCCCCCCCCCCGCACCACCACCCCTCCCCCCCCAGTGCCCAGGGACTTACTCTTATAGGAGATGCGGGTGATGGTGTCACGGTTAAGGAGGCGGCTGAGGAACGGGTTTGAGCTGCCAGCCACCTGTGTGGAGGTGTGCAGTGAAGAGAGAGGAACCCAGAAACCCAAGCTTCCCCAATCCCTTCCTCCCCTAGGACCCCAAAGACTGGGCCTCCTAGCTCCCTCTTCTCAGACCCCAGGTCCAGACTCTCCTTTCCTCCCTGGGCTCACATTGACAAAGAGGCTGAGAATGGCCAGGCCATTGGGGCCCCGGGTGGCGGCGCTGAGGTTCCCATAGAGTTCTTGGTTGAAGTGGATGAGCTGCACCTAAGAGGGAAGCACAGAGAGTGGGGTCCCCTGGAAGAAGGGGAGGGCAGGATGGGCAACGGGAGCAACTTTGGGGTTCCAAGTCAGGTTAAGGATTAGTGCTCACAAGGTGGGGGGGGGGGCTGTGGATTCCGTGGAGGAAGATGGGATGAGGGATGAAAAGGGTGGTGACTATGGCTGATTCATACTGATGTTCAACAGAAAACAACCAAATTCTATAAAGCAATTATCCTTAATTTAAAAATAAATTTTAAAAAATTTTAAAGGAAAAAAAAGGAGGGTGAGGTGGGAGGAGGGCTTCCCAGGTGGCCACCCCAGTGGTAAAGAATCCACCTGCCATGCAGGAGATGTGGGTTCGATGCCTGAGTCAGGAAGATCCCCTGGAGGAGGAAATGGCAACCCCCTCCAGTATTCTTGCAGGGAGGATCCCTTGGACAGAGGAGCCTGGTGGGCTACCGTCCATGGGGTTGCAAAGAGACACAGTTGAGCGTCTGAGCATGCATGCAGGAGGTGGGAGGAATTTGGTTGACTTAGAATGAAGGTCGAGGGTCAGAGGTCAGTGGCCATCACCTCAGCAGAGAAACCCTGATGGTTGATCTGGTGTTCAGAGCCAGCTCCATCACGTGCTCCAAATAGCAGCCGCAGTTCACTGAGTCGGTGGCTATAAAGGAGGGGCCCCCCAGACACATTAACCACAGGCCGGGGCGCAGGCAGGAAGGAGACATGGCGACCGGTGTTGTACAGAGTTCCGCGGAGCTGTGGGGGAGGCGGAGGCAGTCATGGGAATGCGAGAAATCTTTTCCCGACTCTTTTCCATTCATACATTTCCCACAGCCAATATCCATTTAATCATTCGGCATAGTTTGAACATTGGAAAAGACCTTGATGCTGGGAAAGATTGAAGGCGGGAGGAGAAGGGGACGACAGAGGATGAGATGGTTGGATGGCATCACCGACTCAATGGGCATGAGTTTGGGTAAACTCCGGGAGTTGGTGATGGACAGGGAGGCCTGGTGTGCTGCAGTCCATGGGGCCACAAAAAGTCGGACACGACTGAGCGACTGAACTGAACTGAATAGTTTGAACACTAATGTCTTTCCAGGCTCTGGGCTGATCCTTGGTAGATGCTCAGTAGTGGTGAATTTAATTAACAAGTATTTATTGAGCTGCTACTGTGTGCCATGGATGCCAGGGAGAGAGCCATGAGCAAGTAAACAAAAACTCTGGAGCTCATGGAGCTTCTGTTCAAATGAAGGAGAAACAATAAATACTGAATCATATAAGTAAATGCTTAATTAATTACATCCTATGCCCACACTGAGGAGCATTGGGAGTTCTAATAAGTGGAAAACCCAGGGAATTCTCTGGTGATCCAGTGGTTAGGACTCCTGTGCTCCCACTGCCAGGGCCTGGGTGTCAGTCCCTGGTTGGGGAACTAAGAATTTGCAAGCAGCACGGCCAAAAAAAAAAAAAAAAAGGAAACCCAGAGAATGGAGTAGGGGTGGGGTGTCAGGAATGGCTTCCAAGAGGAAGTGACATTTGAATGGTGACCTGAAAGATAAGGAGGGGTTATTTGCGAGGAGTGAGGAGAAGGGTATTCCAGAAGGGGGAATAGTCTGTGCAAAGGCCCTGAGGTGGCCTATTTTAATAACAGTGAAGCCTGGGACCAGAGCCCAGTAAGCAAAGGAGAGTGTGGTGATGGGAGCTGGGTGGTGCAGAGCCTTGTGGGCAATGATGGGGTATTTTGTGTTTTTAATTTAAATAATTGAATAGATATAACACATTTGGCACAGTACCGGGCACAGGCTAAGTGCTGTGTAAGTGTATGCTGTCATTACTTATCCTAACAGAAAGATTTTGAGTAGGAGAGAGTGGTATGATCCAGTTTATGTTTGTAAACATCTCTCTATCTGTGGGATGGAGAATGGGTTGCAGGAGGCAGAGAAGCAAGCCAGCAAAGATGCTATAGCATCAGTCCCAATGCAAGATGATGGTGGGACCAGTGGAGGGACAAGAAGTGAATGCTACTTAGCAGGAAAACTAGAAAGGGAACGGATGGGAAACGGAAGTGAGGGAGGAAATGGGATGGGGAAGCTCTGAGACTTTTGGCTGGGTGACCAGGGAGTGCCAGCTCTTCTAAGAAATAATATTGCAACGCGGGCAAGAGCGTGGATTCTGGAACTACGTCGCCGAGGTCTGAATCCCAGCCCTGGCACTCTCTGGCTGTGTGACCTCAGGTAACTAACTTAACCTCTCTGTGCCTCAGTTTCTGTATCCATAAAATAAAGATAATAATAGCACCTATTTCGTGGTGCTCTGAAGATTAGAGGATTCATCAAGTTTGAAAACAGTGCCTGGCCCAGGAGACGATCTGTTTTACCATTGCTTCTAAGAGAGGGGAAGACTAGGAGCCATGTTTGTGGAGGGAAGAATCGGTGATCATTTGCGAGTGTAACTAGCCTCCTCTCTACGGAGAGAGTAGACCTCCTCCCCCAAGGCTAGCCTCCCAACTCAAAGCTCCACCCCCGATCCCCATTCAGGCCCCGCCCCAGTAGATTCGGTAACCCCACCCACCAGGTCCCTTACCTTTTCTCCCCCGGTGCTGAGTCTCAGCGGGGGCAGAAAGGGGTCATAGAGGACCCTCTTCAGCTCCACATCCACGGGGCTCTGACGCTTCCCCACGGCACAGAGACTCCAGGCTGCGTTCACCAGGCCCCAGAAGGGAGGTCCTGGGAGCCGAGGTGGGATAGGGAGAAAAGGAAGTCAGAAATAAGGACTGGATCTCTAGACTGGGGCCCGCCACGAAGGCTGTTGTCTGGATTCCCGGATCCCAGGAGAGGAAGGGCTGGGAATCTGGACTCCTGGCTCTGAGGGAGGAGGGGGCTGGGATCCAGAATCCTGGGGTCCTAGAAGAATCTTGGAGGCGTTTCCTAGGGAACCCCCCACCCCCACCCCCCTAACACCTCCAAGTCTCTTTGATCAAACCTATCTTAAATTGTCACTGGGGGAAGAAACTACAACTCCCACCAGGCCCTGGGACTGCCAAACAACCCATTCGCTGCCGGCCTGCCCCAGAGGTCATGGGAGTTGTAGTTCTTTCAGTCTCCTTGTCCCACAGCTGGATAATGAATGAAGTAGGAAGAAGGAGTTGCAAGAGAGGGCAGGAGGAGGCGGGGGAACGGGGCCACTGAATCTCTGGTTCTCAGCAAGAGCCAGGACCTACCTGCCTCTTTCCCAGGAAACATACACACACACTCTTCACCCCCACACTGTTACCTTCCAGTCACTCCCACTCACTACTTGAAATGCGCATGTATAATGTCCCATGCTGAGCCACTCGGGTTCAGAAGCTGGGCCTCCTGAGGAGGGAGGAAGGGGCCGGGACCCTCGGGTCTGGGGCGTGGGGAGGGCAGGCAGGAAGGAGAGGACTTCTGGGTCTCAGGAAGAAAGCGCCCAGCAGCCCAGACTCCAGAGTCCCCGCCCTGGCTGCACCTGGCACGAAGTTTCCCTGGAGATTATCCTTGTAGCTCCACCAGTCCTCTGGGTCAAGTGCGGGTCCAATGTGCGCTGGGGAGAGAGCAGCCTGCACCCCTCTCCTTGGCGCCCCACCCCACCCCTCCCTCAGGGGCTCCTGCCCCAACCCCCCAGGCCTTACCTGCCGCTCCCAGTGTGGCCCAGAGTACCAGCGCCCGAGGGGCGCTCAGACGAGCTGCAACCCCCATCCCCAAGAGGCCTCGGGGTAACCCCTTCCCAATGTCCCGCCGGCCCTCTCTCAGCTTCTCCCCCTGTTTGTGGAACCCTAACCCCTCCCAGGACTTCCAGCCTTCCGCTCCTCCCTACAGGGAGTCCCAGTTCCCCAGTTACTGTGGCAGTGGGGGACTGAGACCCCCACCCCCTCCCCTCTCTCCTCTCCTCCCTCGCTTTGCCTCCCCTTTCTCTCCTCTTTTCCTGAACCCTCCAGGCTTGCTCTACCTCCCGATCTTCCTACTCCCCTCTCTGCCTTCTGCTTCTCCCTCGGGTTCCCTCTGGGTTCCTAATGCACACTCCCCTTCTTCGCTCTCTTTTCATTAAATCTCTTCCAAGCCCTCTAACTCCATTCCTCCATCCTGCTTCCCTCACCTCCTCCTCCCTCCCTTCCTTCTCGGTCCCTGCCTCTCCCTGCTCCCTTCTCCCCTTCTTCTCCTCCTCACTCTCTCCCTCTCAGCCTCCAGCTCCTCTCTCCCTCCCCACCTCCTCCTCTCCTGCCTCTTCTGTTTCTCTGTCTCTCTCCTCCCTTCCTCCCTCCTGCCCCTCCCTCTCTTCTCTCTCTTGCAGTTATTTAATTTTTCTGTCGTTGTTTGGGGGTGGGGGTGGGGGCTCTCACAGCAGAGAACCCTCCTCTTCGGGCTGGTGTGGATGGAGTGGGGGTATCCAAGGGGCAGGATGGAGGGGTCACTGGGGGGCTGATCCCCAGCTCCCAGATGCGCTGGGGCCCTGGGGGCGGGGGTGGCCCGGACACCTGGGGCCCAAGAGCTGGCAGTTTCCATCCTCCGCAGAAGAGGGAAGGGGGGGCGCTTAAGGTGGAGCTGGGAGAGTCCTCGAGGTCTCTGCGCCCAGAGCTGCTGGCCCCAGAGGATCAGGGGTTCCCCCAGCTCATGGGGACCCAGGTTGGAGCCTGCATCACTGCCTGCAGCCCCCCGCCCAGTGCATCACTCAGGCCTCCACCAGGGGCTCCCTTAACTCGGCTAGGGGATCCCCTGGGAGACTTGAGTGCGGTGTGGGCGGCTGACCAGGAGAGGGAGGCAGAGACTTGGAGAGGGAGAGAGAGCGAGGCAGGAGGTGGAGCCGGGAAGGCAGAGAAGAGAGAGCAGAGGTGAGGTCAGGGAACTGTGAAGGCTGGGGAAGGCGAGCCTGAGATCAGGACAGAGAGACAGGATGGAGGGAGATGCAGGGTAGAGAAGAGAGGGCAGGGTGGGGCGGCTGCGGGTTTGGGTGGGAGGAGATGGCGGCAGGAAAGACAGACCGACTTCCATGCCTTGAATGAAAGAAATCCAGAAACTGATACACACATAGAGGAGGCAGAGATAGAGGACACCGCCCCCCCTCACCCGCCCCGCAAATGACTGGGGAAAAAAATACAAAATGAGACAGGTACAGATGGAGGCAGAGAAAGATATGCAGAGAGACAGAGACAGACAAACTTAGAGATGGAAGCAGAGAGACCCAGAGAGAGAGAGTGTGCACGTGGGCCTCAAACAGCAGGTTCGAGACAGAAGAGAAAGACGCCAGGCAGGAGGTGTGCAGGGGGAGACAGAAAACCAGATCTGCAGACAGACATGGAGACACACGCCGAGAGGAAGCAGCAGAGAGAGGCGAGCACAGAGAAAGAGGCAGGCACCCATGCACATCTGTAAAGAGGGCCCCTCATGTAGAGGAAGAGGTATGTATCAACAGAGATAGAGACCCAGGTCGGGGGAGAAAGACCCAGAAACAGATCAACCGACATGAAGGATGAGACTAAAGAGGGCTGAGAAAGACAGAGGCATTCAGAGACAGAGAATTGGAAATGGACATGCAAGGACTGTAATGCAGAGAGACAGAGACGCCTGGGAGAGCCGGAAGTGGAGAGAGACACCGAGACAATACAAGAAAGGAAGGTATACTAATGATCTGTTGTCACATAACAAATTACCCTGAAACTCCGTGGCCTAGAGTGACACGTGTTTATTGTCCCACAGCTTCTGAGGGGTGGGAACTGTGGAGCAGTTCAGCTGGGTGAATCTGGCTCCCATAACAACAGAGAGCTCAGACTCTCATGAAGGGCCAGTGGGCTATTGGCCAGGGCTGCAGTCATCTGGACTCTTGACTGGGGCTGGAAGATTACCTTCAAGCTCACCTACACGGCCCTTGACAAGAGGCCTCAGCTGCTCAGTGTTAGGGTTCACAAAGGGCTCGTGTGGGTGAAAGTCGCTCAGTTGTGTCTGACTCTTTGGGACCCCATGGACTATACAGTCCATGGAATTCTCTAGGCCAGAATACTGGAGTGGGTAGCTGTTCCCTTCTCCAGGGGATCTTCTCAACCCAGGGATCAAACCCAAGTTTCCTGTATTGCAGGTGGATTCTTTACCCACAAGTGAAGCCTATATATATATATATATACACACACATATATATGTATATATATATACACACATATATATATACACACATATATATATACACACATATATATATACACACACATATACACACACACACACACACATATAGCGTATAGTTAAAATATGGCCCTTTGTGGTGACATGACAAACAAGAGATGAAGTCACAGTGGCAATATGTTAATTATACACTCTGAGCCCCTTGTGAACCCTAACGCTCACCACGTGAGCCTCTCCATAGGACTGCTTGGGTCACAACAGGGCTACTGGCTCCCCCTCAGAGCAAATGACTGGAAAGACAGCAGTGTCTTATGTAACCTATGTCCAAAGTCACACACCAGCACTTTTATTTGGGTATTGGCCACGCTGCTTAGCCTGCAGGATCCCAGTTCCCTGACCAGGTACTGGACCCAGGCCCCAGCAGTGAAAATGCTGAGTCCTAACCACTGGACTGCCAGGGAATTCCTAGCACCATCACCTCTTTATTCTATTCATTGGAAATGAAAGTCACTCAGTCGTGTCTGACTCCTTGCGATCCTTGCGATCCGATGAACTGTACAGTCCATGGAATTCTCCAGGCCAGAATACTGGAGTGGGTAGCTGTTCCCTTCTCCAGGGGATCTTCTCAACCCAGGAATTGAACTCAGGTCTCCTGCATTGCAGGCGGATTCTTTACTGCCTGAGCCGCTAGGGAAGCTGTGGATGTGTATTCATTGGAGGTGAGCTGCTCAGTCTAGCCCACATTCAAAGGGAAAGGGATTGATGCTTTTTTTTTCTCTAAAATTTTATTTATTTTGGCTGCACTGTTCCTCCAAAGTTCCTCAACAACTTTGTTGAGGACCCAGTGCAGCCAAAATAAATAAAATCTTAGGAAAACAAAAACAAAGAGAAAGAGATTGAGCTCCTCCTCTTGAACAGAGGGATATCAAAGAATGTGGGCTTCTTTCAAAACCATCACAGAGGGACTTCCCTAGCAGTCCAGTGGTTAAGACTGCGCTTCCACTGCAGGAGCTGTGGGTTTGATCCCTGATTGGGGAACTAAGATCCTGCATGCCATATCATGTGGCCCAAAAAATAAAAAATAAAGTAAACTCATCATAAGTGGGGAGAGGAAGAGAGACAGCACGGAGAGAGACAGACTTTCAAGGCTTAGACCCTCAAGGCTTTCAATGACCCTCAAGGCTTAGAGGCTGGTGAGGCACTTATTCAGAAAGGCAGGAATGTGTTGAGAGAGGGAAGACAGAGACAAGATAAAGGAAACCAAAGCAGCAGTAGTAATAATGACATAATAATAATAATAACTACAGTGACAGCAGCTCACAGGTAAAGCATCTGCTACATACCAGGCAAAATTCTGAGCACTTTCTAAGGACTCACTCACGTAATCATCACAGTCTCTTTATGAAAAGGAGAAAGTTATTATTCCGTTTGACAGATGAGGAAACCAAGCCTCAATGGGCATAAGTGACTTGCCCAAAATGACACAGGTAGGAGACAAAGAAGGATGGGGAAATTATGACAAAGACATATATGCAGAGAAATGGGGACGTGCCAGGAAGAGACTGGCAGAAGAACCCAGCTCGGATGGAAAAAAATCAATCAGCAAGAAATAGCAGCCACTCTGATTGAGGGTTTCCTAGACATTGGAGCTGGACCATGCATTCTTTAGGTTTTGTTAGCCCTCAAAGTTGCCCCTTGAGGTGGGGGTTGGTATTAGCCCCATTATACAGATAGAACCCCTGAAGCTCAGAGAGGAAAGTGACTCGCCCAAGATGTTGTGGGTTGACTGGTGCCCCCCATCCCCCCCAAAAGAGACACATCCCCCTGGAACCTGTAAATAGGATCTTATTTGGCAAAAGGGTCTTTGCAGTTGTAACTAAGATGGTGATCTTGAGATCAGATCATCCCATATTATCTGGGTGAACCCTAAATCCAATTACATATGTTCTTTTAAAATAAAGACATAGATAAACAACAGGGATCTACTGTATAGGAGAGGGAACTGTATTCTCTCTCTCTCTCTTTATATATATATATATATATATATTTTTTTTTTTTTTTTTCTTGGTTGGGCTGCAAGGCATGTAGGATCCCAGTTCCCAGACTAGGGACTGAACCCCATGTCCTTTGCATTGAAAGTGCAGAGTCCTAACCACTGGACCACCAAGGAAGTCCCTATTCAATATCTTCTAATAAACTATAATGGAAAAGAATCAGGGAAAAGTATATACATATATAGCCGTTCTTGTTCAGTTGCTGAATCATGTCCAACTCTTTGCCATTCCATGGACTGAAGCACCCCAGGCTTCCCTGTCCTTCACTGTCTCCCCGAGTTTGCTTAAACTCGTGTCCATGCCTTGAGTTGATGATACCATCCAACCATCTCACCCTCTATCACCTCCTTTTCCTGCCCTCAGAATCATTTTGTGCACACTTGAAACTAGCACAATATTGTAAATCAACTATACTTCAATTTCAAAAGAAGAAGGAAAAAAGAAAGGCAGAGGGGGATTTTAGACAGAGAACACAGTATCGTGAGGGCAAAGGCAGTGGGGACGTCCCTGGTGGTCCAGTGGCTAAGACTCTGAACTCGCAATGCATGCATGTAGATCCTACATGCTGCAACTAAGAGTTTGCCTGCGACAACTAAGACCTGGCACAGTCAAATTAATTTATTAATTAAAAAAAGAAAAGAAATGGGTAAGAGAAATTTCTTCTTATATGGGGGTAAGAGGAAGTCTTCCCAGTGTAGGTGACATTTTTCTGACCCTCTTTCTGTCCCTATAAGCCCAGCCCTGGCTCAGAACGCATCTTTTCCCACCAGGATCCTCTCTCCAACCCCTCCCCCCACCCCCAGTCTCCCTCCCCCTCCAGTCTAGCCTCTAGGGATCCCAGAGGAGTCTTCTATGTCCAGAGGTGACCTGGCCTCTCCTCAAGTCACAGCCATCCTGTATCTCCCCAGCACCCTGGACAAATTCCCTGACCCTCCGCCTTTCTAGTCATGACCGATTCCTTCCTCTGTCCTTCAAGACCTACCTCTGATGTCACTTCCTCTGAGAACCCAACTTGCAGTCTGGGTTCAAGGCCTTCTTTGGGCTCACCCAGTGAATGGAGCCACCTCTACAATTGTCCATATCATGTTTGTTGCTCATACAGGGCTGACCCTGCCCCTCCTCTACTCATAAATCTCCCACGGCTCTCCAGTGCCCGTGGGGAAAAAACTCAGGCCCTCAGCCTGGTCTTAGAGGCTCCATATGTTCCGGTTCCTGCTTATTCCAGCCTCAGACCTCTTCTCTGACCATACCGGGCCCTCTGGCTTCTGGACCTTTGCACCAACTGCGACTTCCTGAAAGTGTGAAAGTGTAGCTGCTCAGTCATGTCTGATCCTTTGCAACCATGGACTATAGCCCGCCAGGCTCCTCTGTCCATGGAAAAAGCAAGGAATGCAGGTTCCACTGAGATTTGAACCCAGATCGCTGGATTCAGAGCCCAGAGTGCTAGCCATTACAACTGTAACTTCTAACTTGGCCTTTCTTTCTACCTCCTCTGCTGGGCAAACTGTTCCTCAGCTAACACGCATTTTAGGAGTCTGCTCTTACAGGAAGCCAACAACGATGCTGTGGAAGGCAGGGGCCTCTTCTGAGTTCTGGAAGCCACCTGTGCTGCCCTCATTATAGCAACAAGACAGACTGGGCTCAGCGCCCAGAGGCGGGAGGGAATGGCCAGGCCGGAGGTGGGGCCCAGATGTGGATTTCATGCCTATTAGTCTTGGGCGCTGGGAACAAAGTTTGGGTCATAAGGAGCATATGGGGCTCACCCTGTTCCTCACTTTCATCTCCTACCTCCCCGGCCCCTCGGTGGGAGGCAGCAGGGACAAGACTCTCTGAGCCTGGGTGGTTCCCAGAGCCCTTCCTGCCCGCGCTCTCAACTCCCACTCCCTAGGGGAGTCCAGCAAAAATCCTCCTGACCTGTGATCTCACCTTCTGGGTTCACCTCTCCTGGGGAATGTCTGGCCACCAGGTGTTTAAATCATGAAAACAAACTCCAAAAGCTCTTACTCTGTGCAGACACTATTTTAAGCTCATTATATACACATCTTTTAAAAAATTAAGTATTTGTTTATTTGGCTGCGCCAGGTCTTAGTTGCAGCACTTGAGCTCTTCCATCTTTGTTGTGGCATGAGTGATCTTTAGTTGTGGCATGTGGGATCTAGTTCCCTGACCGGGGGTCAAACCCAGGCCCCCTGGATTGGGAACACGGAGACTTAGCCACTGGACCACCAGGAAAGTCCCTAAATGTTCATGCATGCTCAGTTGCTTCATTGGTGTCTGATTCTTTGTGACCCCATGGACTGTAGCCTGTAGGGCTCCTCTGTCCACAGGATTCTCCAGGCAAGAATACTGGAGTGGGTTGCCATTTCCTCCTCCAGAGGATCTTCCCAACCCAGGGATTGAACCCATATCTCCTGTGTTTTCTGTATCACAGGCAAGATTCTTAGCCACTGAGCCACTGGGGTAACCCTACAGACACGTTAATTCATTTAATCCTCATAATATGCCCTGTGGGTTATATCCTATTACCATCATCACCACCACTCCCATTTTACAGATGGGAAAACTTAGGGGACAGAGAGGGATTTGAACCCAGGCAGTCTGGCTCCAGAGCCTATGTATTTCATGAAAATCACCTTTAGAGCAATGTCACCCAATAGAAGTTTCTGTGATAGTGGACATGTTCTTTATCTGCCCTATCTGATATGTTAGCCACCAACTACCAGTGTGGCAGTGGCTACTGATTGGGTAGCTCAGAGAACTAAGTCTGAGCACTGGCTACTTGCTGTGTGATGGTTGTTAAGATTCCCAGCCTCTCTCATTCTGTTTCTTTTAAGGATTCCAGACAAACCCAAACACATGTGGGTTTCAATCCTTGCCCCCATTTCAAAGTGGAGTCTCCCTGAGAGCCTCAATTTCTTCAGAAAAGGATGGAAAGAGCAAGATGAGGCATCCAGCGATTTCTGAAAGAGAGACCTCTTCTTAGAAAACCCCTTGACATGCTAAGTTGCTCAGTCATATCTGACCCTTTGCAACCCTATGGACTGCAGACCGCCAGGCTCCTCTGTCCATGTGATTCTCCAAGCAAGAACTGGAGTTGGTGGCCATGCCTCCTCCAGGGAATCTTCCCGAACCAGGAACTGAATACTCATCTCTAATGTCTCCTGCATTGGTAGGTGGGTTATTTAGCACTAATGCCACCTGGGTAGCCCTATAAAACCCCTTAAAGATTCCTAACTCCTGCTTTAGATATGCCCACAGCCAGGGCCCTGTTGGAGGCCAGAAGCACGCCTCCCCATATACAGGATTTTATTGGTAGCTTGGGGGTCTAACAGTCACCTACTGCAGGCTATTTTCTGCCTTTTTCAGCCTCCTTAGGAGCATACCCAGAACACTGGTGGCAGAGCCTGTTCTCACTGCCTAGCACCCAATGATATCATGGTGCAGCCAGACTCCCCATTGGTCAGGCCTGCTTTTTCTCTCAGGGAAAGAATACGTTTCTCTCTAGGCCCCAATGAACGGTAAGTCATATCTCTTTGTCTGAGATTCCCTCAAAGTACTCACTGTCTCTCCTACAAAGGTCACTCAAATTTGAAATTTTGCTTTTCATCGTGGGTTCAGAGGCCAAGTTGACATGAAAAATCATAAGCCCGATGACCTTCCATTCCATAGTACTTACTACCTCCTGCCTTTTTTAACCTCACCCCTCTGGCCTGTTGGGTCTTCCCTGGTGGCTCAGACCGGTAAAGAATCTGTTTGCAATGCAGGAGACCCAGGTTTGATCCCTGGGTGGGAAAGATCCCCTGGAGAAGGGACGGGCAACCCACTCCAGTATTCTTGCCCGAAGAATCTCATGGACAGAGGAGCCTGGCAGGCTACAATACATGGGATCGCAAAGAGTCAGCATGACTGAGCAACAAACACTCTGGCCTGTAGTTCCAAATGCTGGGTGGAATCCAATTTTGTTTAGCACCAAGTGAAGTCAGACTGCTCTGTGGCTCCCAATTGGCTGTTCCCTCAGGAAAGGGTTTAGGCTGGGCCTCAAGACCGAGCGGACCCAACAGAACCCTCTTCAGATAGTCACTCAAAGTTCTATTATTTTCTCAGACCATCCTGGGGCCATTAGTAATCAAGTGTTTCTTAACTTGGAACTTTCTAGAAATCCGACACTGCTGTGCTTTCCTCAGGTGTGTTTCCTGCCTTTTTTAGTCACCCTCCCTTCCACTGGCTTTAGCCAATGGTTAAGCAACACAACTCTCACTAGCCTCTGTAGCCATGTTTGGTTTCACAACTTCCTCATGGCCTTCTTCATTTGCCCCTCCTAGACTCTCCCAGTGCAGATCAGCGGTCTGGAGCCGAGATTCCCCAAGAGTTGAGACTTTATTGAGGGGACTTGCTGCATAAGACAAAGGTCAAGAGTCAGAGCCAGAGACCAAGAGTTCTACCGCCTTTAGTTAAGGCCTTCCTGACCCTGGATGCTGGCACATGCCAGTGACGTCAGGCGTTCCCCGGCGTCTGATTGGCTCGCTGACGGACGCCTCAGCGTCGAGGTAAAAGGCAGCTGCCGTGGAGGTTGCTTCTAGTTCCTTCGATGGCATTCGAGGCCGCGGGGCTTTGGCTCTAGAGCCTGGGTTCGGGGCTCGGGGTCGAAGGCCGCAAGCCGCGGCACCCCCCGGCGTGCTCTTCCTGCTGCAGCCGCCGCAGCGGCCGGGCCCAGCGCGGCCTCCAGGGCAGTGCGAGGCCGTGGCGGTCGAGGACGAGGCGTGTAGGATCTGGGCTGCCAGCCGTGCTGCCCAGCAGCAGATAGTGGTTGGCGGGCCGCAGGAGCAAACATCCGCACGTCAGATCGGCGCGGGGCACCCAGGCGGCCTGGCTGCCACGGCGCACGGGCCGCACTCGCTGCTTGTACACGGCCAGCACGCGTATGGCCAGCCGCTGCCATGCCGTGTCCGCGGCCTCGGACGCCAGCACCTGCGCGTGGAGCACTGCGGGAAGGGGGGAGGTCAGGCCTGGACCAGGGGGAGCCTGAAGGCCCAGTGAGGTTAGTCTTGGTGGGGAGGGGCCTGGGACGCAAGGGTGGACTTCCAGAATCGCATCAGGAAGAACAGAGACCTTGAAGCTTTGAGGGTGAGAGGCCCTGTGCTGTGAGGAGTGAGGTCTTTTTGAGGACACGGGTCAAAACAAGGAGGGCGGGGTGTTTGGAGTGTGAGGTTGGGTCCCAGGATTGTTGATTGTGAAGGGGAGGGGTGGGTGGGTGGTCCCTCTGGAGTGGCGGTCAGGCTGGGCCAGGAACCCAGGTGCCCACCAGGAAATATGCAAGCACCACCAGGGATGCTTTTGAGATCATATTAGAAAGCGCAGGTATAGGAATGACTTAAAAGTTAGAGATCTCCCGGGACCCTGCAGTGGGTGGGGCTGGAACATGGCAGAAAAGGCCGGTCCAAGTCTCTAATGCCAGAGAGTCAGAAAGTATTAGGAGCACACGGAGCCCCTGGAAAACAGAGATATTGCCCTAGGCGGGATCTGCACCTAGGATTAAAGCCCAGGGTCAAGGTCTTACTAGTGGTGATTCAGAGAAGTGTCCCCTCTAAGAAGGTGAGATGAGATCTGTTGGGAGCAGCGCTCTGGTGGGCAAGCTGGGTCTATGGGCTATAAGATCCCTGTGGGAGGTGGGGGGAGAAGCCTCCACATTTGGAGTTCAAGAATACTAGTGGCCAGATGGTGAGCCTCAGGGAGGGGAGGTCTGGGATCCTGTACCACTGGGGGCAGTAACTGGGGCAGGGCTGAACTCAAGTATCCAAGAGAGCTGAGCTCATAGGCCCTGGACTCAGGGGGCTGGTGTAGACTGGTGGATTAGGAAACTATGGGGGAGTCTGTGGGAATGGGGCTACAGCCCTGAAGGAGGGCAGAGGACCTGAGATAGACAAGACAGCGCAAGGGTCCCCTCCATTCAACCAGTTTGCCTTTCTCCTTCCATCCTCAGGAAGCCATCTCCCCAACTCAGGGATGTCAGGCTGAAGGAGACTGTGAAACTCTGCAAGGCCACAAACGTGGGGAGAGAGGAGACCTAGGAAGGTAGGGAGTATCCCTCCCCACTCCCCCTTCCGCCCATTGTCTCCTGTCACGTTAGGTTCTAGATCAGGAAAGGCCCTTTGAGTTCAACACCCCTTCCCATTTAAGATGAGGAAACTGAAGGCCAGAGGAGAGAGTGACTTGGAGGCAGATCAGAGCCCCTGTGCGCCCACTGGCCCTTGTTCTCCCCAGCACTCACCGTAGTCCTGCTGGCAGTACCTCCGAAGGCTCATGTGTATCCTGGTGTCCGAGGTATTGCAATAGTTTTGACACTGAGGGTCTGGGGAGGGTTGGGCTCCTGAGGCCTGGACTACAGCATTCTGCCCCTGCCCATCCCCCACAGTCCGTCTTGATGGACAGCTGGGGTGCCTGAACCCTTGGGACTGTGCTTAGTGGACCACCCCTGGATCCCCGCCTGGTGGCCCAATCACCCCATCCCCAGTCCTTCTTGCTACCAGGGATTTGTAGGCCAGCCTGTCTTACCCAAGCTGTAAGCTTGAGGGGTTGTGGCAAGGGTGGTTGTCACCTCTGGGATTCCTGTGATAAGAGTAAAGGAGAGGTAGGGCCTCTGAGCACCTCCCACCAGCACCCTGCTGCCCCCAAGGAAACCAGGCATCCAAACCACGTAAGTCTGTTCCCTTGAGGCCCAAGAGTGGAAGCACACTTTGCCTTTCTCCCCCAGGACCTGGAGTTCTGGTCCCTTGCCACTTTCTGGACTCAGGAGTCCTAGTCTTAAGACCTCTCTTAGACCCAGGAATCCAGGCTCTTAGCCTGTTCCTCTGCAGGTTGAGAGACTGGACTTCAGGCTCCGCCTCCCCAAGGCCACAGAGTCCCGCTTCCAGTCTCTAGCTTCCGTCTCCCAGGGACCTGGTCCTCACCCCTCTTGCCCCCTGGAGGTCTGGCTGTCTCCTTCCCCGCCCCACTTGGGACTCAGGGCCCCGCCCCTCAGGACTCACGCTGGCAGGGCATCCTGGGGGAGCGGCTCTGCTGGTAGCCAGGACCACAGCGGTTGCAGGTCAGGCCAGTGACCCCTAGCTTGCAGGAGCACTGCCCACTGGTCTGGTTGCAGGTACCGCCTGTCGCCCCAATAGGATGGCACTGGCAGGCTGCGTGAGGAGAGGAGCTGGGGAGGTGGGGTGCGGGCTGCCAGCCTTTTCCTCCCCAAGACTGGGGGAGCTGGAATTCCCTGCCCCCTCCGCCCTCAGACCCAGGAGTCCGGGCTCCAGCTCCTCCTCCCGCGGACCCTGGTCTCCTGGTACCCAGCCCCCTCCGCCCTCAGACCCCATAGATCTGGCCCCCAGCCCCTCCTCACTCAGACCTGCCTGTCACCTTTTCCTCTAGGTGGGGCTTCAGGCTGCACTCACCCCTGCAGGCCTTGTGGCTGTTGATGGGCTGGCTGGGGTCCCTCCAGAACCCTGGCTGGCAGTAGTGGCAGTGCCGCCCGGCTGTGTGGTGGCGGCACCGCTCACAAACGCCCCCACTCCGGCCGCCCGACAGCCTGAACAGCTCCGAGTTGAACCTGCAGCGTCGCGCGTGCTGGTTGCAGGAGCAGGCTGGGAACAGGATGCAGCGAGGGCACCTCAGTCCCCATTCTGTCCCCCTTTTCCCAGCTTTCCCCCCACCACCCTCAGGAGAGAGACTGCCTGGGGTTCCCCGTGTGAGTGTGGGCCCCCGAAGCCCTTCATTCTCATCTTTAAAATGGGCCGTGCTCTAGACTGGAGCTGGGTGAGCCCGAGGGGACTGATGAACACGCGGGATGTAAAGAGTAGCAACTCTGGGCGTGGGCTACAGAGTCAGACCGCCGTGTGGAAGTGTCTCACTCTTTCTGTGGGCAAGTGACATCTCCTTTCTGCAGCTTCAGACTCCTTTGCTATAAGATGACATTTATAGTATCTACTTCCTCACAGGAGGACCACCTACCATGTACATTTTGCTGGGGAGCATCGGTCATATTTCAAAGGCAGTGACTCTCAAATTTTACCACTTATTCGAATTACCCGGAAAGCGTTTAAAAAGAGCAACACAGGACCTCTGTGCTAGGTCCTGTATCAGGCTGCGTTCTAAGGACGTTATGTATATTCATGTTTTGAATTTCCACTGCAGCCTGTGGAGGAAGGACTGTTGTTTTCCTCACTGCACAGGTGAGGAAATGGAGGCACAGAGAGGTTTGGTCACTAGTTGGGGGGTCACACAGCCAGGAAGCCGACGAGCTGGGCTTTGAACCCAAGCAGCCTGGCAGGCTCCTGAGGCCATGCCCCCATCCGCTGCCCTAGAGCATCTAGTGTGGCAGCACATGGGACAAGCCAGGAGCCTTGGGCTTATTCTCCTGAGCTCACGTTCCAGCCCTGCCACCTGCTGACTGCGTGTCCTTGCACACAGAACTTCCCAGCTGTAGCCTCAGTCTCCTCATCTGTATAATGGGCCTGATGCAATCCCTGCCTGGCACATAGTAGGTGCTGGATAAAATTGTGTCTAATGAGTAGAAGCTTCCCCCACCATGGTTGATTTGATGAGTCCAAAAACATCTAGCTGCCCTGTTTTTCTGCAACCTCTCACTAAATACCACCCAAGCACCTGTGCCAAGCCAGGCCCTGGGCAGGGCTCAGAGAGCGTCCTCCACATCACCATCACCGTTATCAGGTGTCATTGAGAGGCTGGAGCCCCCCGGTGGGCATGGAGGCAGCAGAGGTGGTGGGGGAGAGTTGGGGGAGCCACGAGGGGTGCTGCCGGAGGACAGTGTGGAGAGAAGCAAGGGGCAGGCAGCTCTGGGGCAGGAGAGAGCCTCCTGACCTCATGGGCCTGGAGCTGGGTCAGGGCAGGTCGGGGCGGGCCCAGGACTCACGCAGGCAAGGGTGAGGGTGCCGGGGCGTGGCAGGCCGCCAGGGCCAGTCGCGGTGAGATGGCCGGCAGCTCTCACAGCCTGGGCCGGTGGTGTGGTGGCGGCAGCGGCAGCGGGGCGGCCGGTCACGGGCAGCGCAGCGGGCAGCGTGGCCGTGGCACTGGCAGCGGCCTCTCACGCCCGCAGCTGCCAGCCCCCCTCGGCCCCCGAGCTCCAGGCGGAGGTGACTGGCCACCACGCTGGCCTTAGGGCCCGCTGGGACCCTGAAGGTCACCCTCTCTGGCCCTCCCAGTGCCCCCGGCCAGGCGGGCCTGCGCCACAGTGACCTCCAGGGCCCTCCGGTGGCCCAGGCGGCAGACAGGACCAGGGCTGGGGGTCCTGGGGTGCAGAAGCGCAGGCTGACGGACGACAGGAGGAAAGGGCCCCCCAGGCCCAGGGTCAGACTGCCATTGCAGGGGGCTCGCGGGCCAAGGTCCACGCCCAGGGAGGGGCCACAGGCCTGGGGACAGGAGGCAGCCATGCCAGCCAGCTGGGTCACGGGTGGGAGGCAGAAGCGGGGGCGGCCCCCAGGGTGGTAACACGGGTCCGGGTCCGCGCTGGCCTGGCTCAGGAGGAGCCAGAGGGCAAAGGTCACGGGCATGGTTCCAGCAGAGGCAAGTACCTGCAGAGGAGAGGAGTGGCCGGGCTGGGGCCTCGGGCTGCCCCCCGAGGTCAGCCTCCACCCCGCTCTCCAGGCTCCCTGAGGAACCCCGGCATTCCACCCCTGGCTCTGCCCCAGACCTCTCCCGGCTGCTTCTGAGCGAGGAAAATAGTTCCATCTGGGGAGAATTACTGTTTACATAAGCCAAAGGGGAAAGAACGCAAGCAAAATTGAGAATTTTGCCTGAACTAATCCGTAGCTTAACACCCCGGCGCTATCAGTCAGAGGGGCAGGGGACCCTGGGGAGAGGGCGGGGAGGGGGACAGATGGGGAAACCTCGAGCAAGGACCAGGGGGAGAAGCGGGGAGCAAGGCGGGGCAGGCAGAGTTACGGACAGATGAAGACTCAGTGACAAAGCAACAGAGACAGGGACAGATAGGGGCACAGACAGACGAATGGAGGGAGAGGGGGCGAGGCAAGCGTAGGGCAGGGGCCAGGCAGGGAGAGGAACCAGGAGGGGCAAGGAGGACGCAAGGGGAGACCACGAGGCCCAGAAAGATGGCGGTCGGGAAACCGGAGTCCACAGGGTGTTGGGAAGTGGGTCCCCGGGAGCCTGGGGGCGGGGACAGACAGACAGATGGGCACGGGACCTTCAAGACACCTGCAGAGCTGGAGGAGAGCTGGCAGTGCAGCAGGCCTGACCGGGGGTGAGAGCAGGGGTGCTAGGCCAGGGGGATCAGAAGCAGGAGGCAGGTCCTCGGGGACCAGGGATCAGAGGGGAGGCCCCTTTCCCACATGGGGCCCTAACCTCGTTCTCCACACCCAGGGCACGGAGGGGGATTATCACCAGATAACCAGGCCTCCCTGCCACCCACCCCGAGCCTCCACCCACCCTTAACCCTTTCTCACCCAGACGCAGAACCCAGAGGACTGTGCTAAGGGCCCCGGTGGGGATGCCTGGGGGCTGGAAGCCTGGGCTGGGAGGCTGGTGTGGAATGCCGGTGGGGCTGAGAAGGTCAAGCCCTGGTGTCCCGCTTGGGATGGGAGGGCCCCTTGTGCTGCATTTCTGAGGACTTCCTGATAATCTAAGCCCACCCGACTCCCACTGCCATCCTAGGCCTCAGGGTCCAGGAATCAGAGCCGCCACATTCCCGCTGGCTGTAAAGTCCCCAGAGCAGAAGAGGGAACAGATGTTGGGGGTGGCGAGTGCCCAGGGAGCAGAGAGGCCGGACAGGGCAGGGCTAGAGGCCAGGGCGTCCGCGGTGCTGGAAGTCCAGGCCTGGGAGGGCATGACTGAGGAAGGACTTGGTGCTGGAATGCTCCCCTCTTCCCGTCCAGGGCTGGCAGCCCCCAGTGGGGAGCTCCCTCAGGTCTGGGGGCCTTGAACCCCTTCTGGGACCTACTGTCCAGGCCCCTGGGTCAGTCTGGACCTGGACGTGGGCCCCGCTGGGAGTCTGTGAGGCACCAGTGGGTGCGGTGGGCTCACATCCCCCCCAGACTGATATCACTGCCCCCAGTGTCCCCAGTACAGACGTCCTGCGCGCAGACCGCCTCCCCGCCCCAGATGACTGCCATGGTCTCCACCCCTCCCGAGGAGGAGTCTGGCGCCATTTTGAGCTCTGGCGCGGGGCATTTGCCCTGGTCCCCTGGCACCTGCCTTGTTAAGGCTCTCACCCCATCTCCCACCTCTCCTCTGTCTCTCCTCTCTCTCCTGGGTGGTTCACGGGGCACCACCACTTTCTGGCCTTAGTACGCCAGGGAAACGGGTTGAGTCCCCCAGTGTTCCTGGGGGATTGAGAAGCCAGCCCCTGCCACTGGGGAGCCCAGATGTCCGGCCCCCGGCCCCTGCCCCTTGTGGGAACTGTAGCCCACCCTGACCACCCCCATTTAAGGAGCAGAGACTAGCTGTGTTCCCACCAGATCCAGAATCAGGCCCCTCGCCTGGGCAGTGTGGGGGTCCCTCTGGGACCCAGGCTCCTCTTCCCTGGTTTCTTTGGCACCCACCCGACCCTTCACCCTGCCGTCGTCCAAACCTGTGCCCTGGAAGAGGTTGTCCTCTTGCAGCTAGCTGCTCACATGTCCTTCTCTCCCGCAGGAGCTTGGCGGCCAGCGTGGGCTCCAGGGAGTGAGTGCGGAGTGGCTGTTCTCAGGCCCCGGGCTAGTGGGGGTTCTGGGCGGGAGCTCAGAGCAGAGCCTAAGAATCCAACACCACCCCCGCCCCCCCACCCCGCCCCAGTCCCCTCGCCAAGGCAGCCACGCTCTCCCCACAGGGACCCCTGGCAGCCACGCCACCCGGGACGGTGTGAGACATGAGCGCCATCACCCCGCAGCGGCCCGCAGCTGGACATCTCCGAGCAGGCTGGCCCAGGAAGCTCAAGACAGGTAGGAGGGGACAGCGGCCAGATGGCCTTCCCGGATCTGGGTTCCGTGCTCCACTCACACCCAGCCTCTGCCCCACGGCTCCTAAGGGCGGGCAGGCTGGGGCTCAGCCCCGCCACGTGGTGGTGGCTGCGATCAGGAAGGGGCAGACCTGTGGGGGGTGGGGGGTGGTGTCTGGGCCGCTCACACCGAGGTGGGACCCCACGCCAGCCCCTCCTGCCCTCTGGAACCTTCTGCCAGCTGTGGGTTAACTGAGCATGAAGGTCAGGCGCTTTCAAGCCCTAGAAGTCAGTGCCCTTTGAAGGGTCACACCAGCCACCTGGAAACCCAAAGACTTGGGCCGCTTTCTGAGTTGGTGGGGTGGGGGTGGAGGAAAAATCAATGCCTGGGACCTTGGTGGTTCTAGCGGCTGGAGGGAGAAATCGGGGACCCCCAGGGGTTCATAGCTCAAAGCGGCCTTCCCCATGACCAGCTCACTATGAGGCCTCAAGACTTCAGGGGTGAAATTTTCTTATTACATACCTGAATGGTTTTGACTAGAAAGACAACATTTTTCATCACTTCCCGCTGAGAAAGGCAGGGGCCTCGGGACGATGGGGCACATATTTGCTACCGTGGCCCCGAGTGCACTGACTGTGGCCCAGCGTGGGCCCGTGGGGTTTGGGGACCCCCTGTTCCGGCGGGAGGGCGCAGCTGAGGCAGCTGTGCTTCTGGTTCTGGGTGACCAGCACGGCGGCGGAGGCACGATGGGGACATAGGCTTTGAATGTAAGCCGTGAGGAGGGGTTAGCTGCCAGAAAAAGAAGCCCTCAGATCAGGGGGCACCTGTGGGACCTGGGGCGGGCGGCGTGAGGGACAGGCTAACTCCTGCAGATTAGAAGTTTCCTAAGCTAATGTTTCCTGGAGGAGAGCTTGCTTTCTCACTTTTGTTTTTAATAACCTGAGCTTCCTGAGGTGATGATCATCTCTAAAGGAGCCAATGAAAAATCCGCCTGCCAATGCAGGAGACTCAAGTTCCATCCCTGGGTTGGGAAGATCCCCTGGAGAAGGAAATGGCAACCCACTCCAGTATTCTTGCCTGGAGAATCCCATGGACAGAGGAGCCTGGCGGGCTACAGTCCATGCAGTCACAGAGAGTCAGACACGACTTAGCAACTCAGCAACAACTGCACTGAGAGTGTGCATCTGAGTGTCCCTTTCTCAGGGCAGAGTAGAAAAACTCAAGACAGTAATCAGGATCCCAGATTCCTGAACCACACTGGTTTCAAATCCAGGCTTCACTTCTTTCCTAGCTGTGTGACCCAAAGCAAATTTCTTAACCTCTCTGTGCGGTAGTTTCCTTTTCTGTTAAATCGGCATAAAAATGTACCTTCCTCATGGGAGATCATGAGGACCAAATGAGTGAAGATAAGCCTACAGTCTAATATCTGAAACTGTGTGGACCAGACATGCTGCAGAAACTGTTTTGACACCACCATGGGGTGTGCAGGTTAAATATTATACACCCCTCAGTGGGGTCTGGGCAGCATCCCATCAGTTCAGTTCAGTAGCTCAGTCGTGCCTGACTCTGCCACCCCATGAACTGCAGCACGCCAGGCCTCCCTGTCCATCACCAACTCCCAGAATCCACCCAAACTCATGTCCATTGAGTTGGTGATGCCATCCAACCATCTCATCCTCTGTCGTCCCCTTCTCCTCCTGCCCTCAATCTTTCCCAGCATCAGGGTCTTTTCCAATGAGTCAGTTCTTCACATCTGGTGACCAAAGTATTGGAGTTTCAGCTTCAGCATCAGTCCTTCCAGTGAACACCCAGGACTGATCTCCTTTAGGATGGACTGGTTGGATTTCCTAGCAGTTCAACGGACTTTCAAGAGTCTTCTTCAACACCACAGTTCAAAAGCATCAATTCTTCGGCACTCAGCTTTATTCCTTATAGTCCAACTCTCACATCCATACATGACGATTAGAAAAACCATAGCCTTGAGTAGATGGACCTTGGTTGACAAAGTAATGTCTCTGCTTTTTAATATGCTGTCTAGGTTGGTTATAACTTTTCTTCCAAGGAGTAAGTGTCTTTTAATTTTATGGCTGCAGTCACCATCTGCAGTGATTTTGGAGCCCCAAAAAGTAAAGTCTGACAGTGTTTCCCCATCTATTTGTCATGAAGTGATGGGACCAGATGCCATGATCTTAGTTTTGTGAATGTTGAGTTTTAAGCCAACTTTTTCACTCTCCTCTTTCACTTTCATCAAGAGGCTCTCTAGTTCTTATTCGCTTTCTGCTATAAGGGTGGTGTCATCTGCATATCTGAGGTTATTGATATTTCTCCCAGCAATCTAGATTCCAGCTTGTGCTTCATCCAGCCCAGCATTTCTTGTGATGTACTCTGCATATAAATTAAATAAGCAGGGTGACAGTAAACAGCCTTGACATACTCCTTTTCCTATTTGGAACCAGTCTGTTGTTCCATGTCCAGTTCTAACTGTTGCTTCCTGACCTGCATACAAATTTCTCAAGAGGCAGGTCGGGTGGTCTGGTATTCCCATCTCTTTCAGAATTTGCCACAGTTTATTGTGATCCACACAGTCAAAGGCTTTGGCATAATCAATAAAGCAGAAATAGATGTTTTTCTGGAACTCTCTTGCTTTTTCGATGATTCAGCGGATGTTGGCAATTTGATCTCTGGTTCCTCTGCCTTTTCTAAAGCCAGCTTGAATATCTGGAATTTCAGTTCACGTTTTGTTGAAGCCTGGCTTGGAGAATTTTGAGTATTACTTTAACTGCATGTGGGATGAGTGCTGTTGTACGGTAGTTTGAGCATTCTTTGACTTTGCCTTTCTTTGGGAGTGGAATGAAAACTGACCTTTTCCAGTCCTGTGGCCACTGCTGAGTTTTCAAAATTGCTGGCATATTGAGTGCAGCACTTTCACAGCATCATCTTTTAGGATTTGAAATAGCTCAACTGGAATTCCATCACATCCACTAGCTTTGTTTGTAGTGATGCTTCCTAAGGCCCAGTTGACTTCACATTCCAGGATGTCTGGCTCTAGGTGAGTGATCACACCATCATGCTTATCTGGGTCGTGAAGATCTTTTTTGTATAGTTCTTTGTGTTCTTGCCACCTCTTCTTAATATCTTCTGCTTCTGTTAGGTCCGTACCATTTCTGTCCTTTAATGAGCCCATCTTTGCCTGAAATGTTCCCTCAGTATATCTAATTTTCTTGAAGAGCTCTCTAGTCTTTCCCATTCTATTGTTTTCCTCTATTTCTTTGTACTGATCACTGAGGAAGACTTTTCTATCTCTCCTTGCTATTCTTTGGAATTCTGCATTCAGATGGGTATATCTTTCCTTTTCTCCTTTGTTTTGGCTTCTCTTCTTTGCTCAGCTATTTGTAAGGCCTCCTCAGACAGCCATTTTGCCTTTTTGCATTCCTTTTTCTTGGGGATGGTCTTGATCCTTGTCACAAACCTCTGTCCACAGTTCCTCAGGCACTCTGTCTATTAGATCTAGTCCCTTAAATCTATTTCTCACTTCCACTGTATAATCATTAGGGATTTGATTTAGGTCATACCTGAATGGTCTAGTGGTTTTCCCCACTTTCCTCAATTTCAGTCTGAATTTGGCAATAAGGAGTTCATGATCTGAGCCACAGTCAGCTCCCGGTCTTGTTTTTGCTGACTGTATAGAGCGTCTCCATCTTTGGCTGCAAAGAATATAATCAGTCTGATTTTGGTATTGGCCATCTGGTGATGTCCACATGTAGAGTCTTCTCTTGTGTTGTTTGTTGGAAGAGGGTGTTTGCTATGACCAGTGTATTCTCTTGGCAGTACTCTATTAGCCTTTGCCCTGCTTCTTTCTGTACTCCAAGGCCAAATTTGCCGGTTACTCCAGGTGTTTCTTGACTTCCTACTTTTGCATTCCAGTCCCCTATAATGAAAAGGACATCTTTTTTGGGTGTTAGTTCTAGAAGGTCTTGTAGGTCTTCATAGAACCATTCAACTTCACCATATCAAATGTTATTGTTTCTGCAAGCAGAACAATTAGGCATTCACTCCAAAATAAGTCTATGAATAGCCTAACATTGGTTAAAATTTTGCCTCCAGATGAGTTTAACTCAGGTTGGGGTTCACCTTCAATCTTCATAAAAGTGATCGATAAGGAATTGTGGAACGGAATGTAAGCCACGAAACCAGCCCCCGGCTTCATCAGCTTTGATTCATTGTTTCCCGTGGCTTTTCAGCTGTGTAGGCTGATGAGCGACCAGGAGAGGGAGCTCTCGAGACTCAAAGATGTAGCAGCCAGACTGGCTTCCTACCTGATAGCAGTGTTGGTCGCTCAGTCGTGTCCGACTCTTTGTGACCCCATCGATTTTAGCCCACCAGGCTCCTCTGTTCATGGGATTCTCCAGGCAAGAATACTGGAGTGGGTTGCCATTCCGTTCTCCAGGGGATCTTCTCGACCCAGGAATTGAACCTGCGTCTCCTGCATCGCAGGCAGATTCTTTACCATCTGAGTACCTGATTGGCAGAGCCCAGGGCAAAATGAAAAACCGGCTGCTTTGCCCATGTTCATGGAGAATTTCTAGATGGCTGGAGCAGAGCAGGGGCCCTATGCAGCTGCATGGGTCCCACATGGTGGAGGTGACCCTGAGTGGGGGCTCCCTCTGTCCTGAACTGGTTTCTCCTCCCTAGTAGTCCTGGCTCCAATCCCTGCTCAGCTTGCCTGCTGGTTTGGGAGCTGCTTGGGGCTCTGACTGACCTGGGTGAGCTGACCAGAGGCTCCAGTCCTTCCCCCGCCCCCTCGTATAAGACTCCAGGCAGGGCCGAGATGGGCAGATTGTGGCACAGATTGGGACAGAGTATAGCTCAGTTGGTAAAGAATCCGCCAGCAATGCAGGAGACCCTGGTTCGATTCCTGGATCGGGAAGATCCCCTGGAGAAGGAATAGGCTACCCACTCTAGTATTCAGTCCTTGAGAATTCCATGGACTGTATAGTTCATGGGGTTGCAAAAAGTCAAACATGACCGAGTGACTTTCACTTCACTTCACACTTACCACCAGCCCGAGAGCAGAGGGGCTCAGGGACAGATTTAATTGGCTTTTTAGAAATCAAAGCAGCGAGCAGGGCATTTCCTGTACACCCTGCGGGGGAGGGGGGAGCATGACGTGTACTTAGTCTTCGTGTGGTAATAGCCAGCTGACCTCACTGGGAACCCACGCTGAATGGGAGACCTTTGAGGAGGGCCTGAGAGTGTTCATATTTCCCAAAGGGGTCAAATTAATACAGTGCGGGACCCTGGAATATAGGAGGAAGAGGAGGGGAGAGTGGAGGCGAGGCCCACAGAGCCCTGACATTTATGCGGGCCGGTGGAGGGACAGATGGGGAGCCTGGAGGGGGTTAGATGGAAGCCAGATGAGGAAGGGTGAGGGCCACGCAATCCAGGGCTCCTGGAGGGGCCTTGGGGGTCTCCTGGCCACAGGGAAACTGCACATGGCTGGTCAGGGGAGCAGAGAAGGGAAGGGGGCAGAGAGGGTCAGGACATAAACTGAAGACACTCTGTGAGAAGACCGCTTCTTGGAGCCCAGGGGAGGGCGAGGGGAGAGACGGCCTGAAAAAGAAACGACCCCTGAAGAGGGGATCACCCACCCCGTTACACGGATGGGGAAGCTGAGGTCCGTGGAGCCCAGTCAGCGCCATGGAGTTGGGGCAGGAACTGCTAGGGACCTGGGTGAGTTCAGAAGTGTCGGCTTCACTGAGCTAGCATGGCACCCCACTGTGGTAAAAAGACAGACCGTGGCGAGTGTTGGCAAGGATGTGGAGAAATCAGAGCCCTCATGCGCTGCCGGTGGGAATGGAAAATAAGGCAGCTGCTCAGAAACCAGTCTGCAGTTCCTCAAACTGTTAAACACAGAGTTAGTTACCACATGACCCAGAAATTCTACTCTCAGGTAAAACCCTGAGGGAAATGAAAACTTAGGTCCACACAAGGATTTGCTCATGCATGTTCATAGCAGTGTTATTCCTGATAACCCAGAAGGAAAACAACCCAGATGTCTTGGAACTGATAAACTGATAAGTAAAAGGAGACAGAACCATGGAGGGGAACATCAGAAATTAGTGACATGCTGCCACGTGGATGAGCCTGGGAAATATGACACAGAGTGAAGGAAGCCAGTGACAAAGGGGCCCTCAATGTGTGATTCATTTACATGCAATGTGCAGAGTAGGTAAATCCACTGAGACAGAAAGTAGATTAGCTGGCAGGAGGCGGAGAGGAGGGGAAGATGGGGGTGGGGATGGCTAAAGGGTGCAGGGTTTGGCTTGGGGGTGATAAAATTTTTCTAAAAGTAATTGTGATGGTTGCCCAACTCCGCTAATATACTAAAAGCTATTCTACACTTTATATGGGAGAATTGTATGGTATTGGAATATTATCTCAGTAAAGTGCTTACCTACAAAAAAGAAGGGCTCATCAGAGACCTAATACAAAAGCTAAACCAAGGCAGCTTGAGGTGGCCGGGCAGAGAGAATGTTACAGAAGCAGGAGTTGGGAATCAGCAGACCCTTAAGTCCTGGTCCAGAAATGGCACCCTCCCCCCGCAAAAAATCCATTCTTTATGGGTCTTCCCCCGTGGTCCAGAGGTTAGGACTCCGAACTTCCGCTGCAGGGGGCACAGGTTTGATCCCTGGTCAGGGAACTAAGATCCCACAAGCTGTATGGCACAGTCCAAAAAAAGAGAGAGAGAAATGGCGCAACGTCACTTCCGCCATATTTGATTGGCCAAGGCCATCACAGGCCCTGCCCAGAGTCAGGGGAAAGGGCGTCAAGGCCTCTGTAGACAGCTTGAATGCACCACGTCCATTGACAAGCAGGGAGCGCTTACCATGCAGGGGGCCTTCCAGAAACATCCTTCATGCGGGCGCTTGGTTACCCCCATTTTATGGAGAAGACTGAGCTCCAAGAGTTAGAGAACAGGCTCCAGGCTGCCCACCAGAAGGAGGCTGAGTGTGCACGTGAACCTGGGCTGTCTGGCCTCAGAGTCTGTGCTCTGAACCTCGGCGCTATGCAGCCTTAATAGGTTGTGAGCGCTCAGGTTTACATATAGTAAATACTCCAGAAGTCTTTATTTTCCAAGGCTTACAGAGTGCCTGCTGTGTGCTAAGCACTGTCCTAAAAGCCTCATAGCTGAGGTAGTTCTGTTGGGTTGAACCACAGGAAAGGACTGTGTAGGAAAATATACGGCGAAATGTTGGCACTTTCAAATGGTTCCACTTCGTCATCCCCTCCACTCTTTTTTTTTTTTTTAATCGCATCACGTTAGCTCTTGGGTCTTAATTCCCTGACCAGGGATCAAACTCACATCCCCTGCTTTGAAAGGCAGATTCTTAACCACTGAGCTGCCAGGAAACTCCCAGATGCCCCTTTTAACAGGCAAGGAAACTGGGATTCAGAGAGGGGGAGTAACGTGACTAAAGTCACACAGCTTTATAAAGGCTGGAGCTGAGATTTAAACCCAGGTTAGAGGGGTTCAGGGTCTGTGCTCTGAAACTTCCGTGGAGGAGGCCATTGGACACGCCTGGATGGGCTGAGTGAGCGCATGAGCTGCTGGTTTGGGGGGTGACAGAGGAACTCATGCCAGCCCAGCCACCCCTCCTGAATTAAGTCATCTCTCCTCCCCGCAGCCACCATGAGATTCTGGGCCACCCGCCCTTCCTCGTCCACCCTCTCCTTCCTCTTTGTCATCTTTGCGGTGTCCACTGTTTTCCATTGCCACCGACGCCTGGCCCTGGTGCCCACCCCTTGGGCCTATGCAGGTCGAGTGGTCTTGTTCCCCAGACACCTGCGTGGGGGCCTGTTCACCATCAATGCCATAGGCCGCCTGGGGAACCAGATGGGGGAGTACGCCACCCTGTACGCCCTGGCCAAGATGAACGGGCGCGCTGCCTTCATCCCGCCCCAGATGCACAGCACGCTGGCCCCCATCTTCCGAATCACACTCCCGGTCCTGCATGACGCCACAGCCAGGAGCATCCCCTGGGAGAACTATTATCTGAGGGACTGGATGGAGGAGCAGTACCGCCACATCCCTGGGGAGTACGTGCGCCTCACCGGCTACCCCTGCTCCTGGACCTTCTACCACCACCTCCGCGCCGAGATCCTCCAGGAGTTCACCCTGCATGCCCACGTGCGTGAGGAGGCCCAGAACTTCCTGCGGGGTCTGCGGGTGAATGGCAGCCGGCCGAGCACTTATGTGGGGGTCCATGTGCGCAGAGGGGACTACGTCCACGTTATGCCCAACGTGTGGAAGGGCGTGGTGGCCGACCGGGGCTACCTGCAGCAGGCCCTGGACTGGTTCCGCGCTCGCCACCGCAGCCCGCTCTTCGTGATCACCAGCGACGACATGGCCTGGTGCCGGAGGAACATCAACAGCTCCCACCAGGACGTGGTGTTTGCAGGCAACGGCCGGCAGGGCTCACCAGCCAGGGACTTTGCGCTCCTCACGCAGTGTAACCATACCGTCATCACCGTGGGCACCTTCGGCATCTGGGCCGCCTACCTCACCGGGGGCAACACCGTCTACCTGGCCAACTTCACCCTGCCCGGCTCCCGATTCCGCATGGTCTTTAAGCCCCAGGCGGCCTTCCTGCCCGAGTGGGTGGGCATCGCAGCCAACCTGGGGCAGGCCAGAGGGAGCCACCCCTAGCCCCGCTTGGGTCCTTGCCGCCCCGTCAGGCCCAACAGGCTTGGACACCCAAGTCTAAATCCAGGCTGTTCAGCTTCCCAGCTGGGTGACCACGGACAAGCGACTTGCTCTCTCTGTGCCTTAGTGTCCTACCTGAGAAACGGGCCTAACGCAGCTCCCTCTGAGAACAGGAGTTCGTGTAGTTCCTTGGAAACAGGTGTGAGGGTTGGCCACTCACAGGTTTGTGATTGGCAGGCCTGCACCTTTGGACTGCCTTGCACTGGACACGTATTTTTGCCCTCTCCTTCTTTATAGCTCCAGGAGCGTGGAGCCCACATATTTGGTGCTTGCCTCCTTGGAGGGTTTGGCAATGAAACCCTTCCTGCCCTCAGTTGGGGTGTTTGAGGCAGCTAAAGAATTCAGGCTTTGGGTTTGATGGGGCCTTATTTCATGAAAGGATGGGAAAGAAAATAGGATTTGAGAGGGAAGATCTCGGGGAGATAACCTTGGCAAGGAGGGGTAGTCCTGAGAAGTGAGGATGGGGTGTCGGAGGGCCTCCCAGAGATGGCAGGACTCAACCCCAGGCCTGGCCGGCAGCAGCAAAGACGCCCCAAGTCCGTAGGTCATGGAATCAGCAGGTTGGCCACGGAGGGGCGGGGCCATGGTCTGTGCCGTGGCCACATCCACCGTGTGAGCAGGCGACTGACACCGTGGCAATGCCCGTGCCCGCAGGACCTCATGTGGTACCCTAATGTGGACTTAAGTTGGATTAAGTGATTACAATACTGATTTTCATGTGTTTGGTGTAAAGTATGGAGATAACCAATATTTTTACTCCTTTTTGGATATTAAAAAAATTAACATACCAATATTTATGTTCACTTAAAATTTCCTCTGAACACAGCTGCCCTGGCTTCGAAAACATTTCAGTCACATCTCTTTCTTACTTGAAAACCCTCTCCAAGTGTCTTTTTTAATTTGAATTTCCATTTCTTGGCATCCTGTGAGGCTGAACACCTTTCTGTTCATATATTGGTAATATTGTATCTCCTAAGAGCCATTTAGAGGCCCTGCTTACTTCCTTAGGGGCTTCCCAGGTGGCGCTAGTGGTAAAGAACCCGCCTGCCAACGCCAGTCGAACCTGACTCAGGTTCGATCCCTGGGTTGGGAGGATTCCCTGAGGAAGGCATGGCAACCCACTCCAGTATTCTTGCCTGGAGAGCTCTGGACAGAGGAGTCTGGCAGGCTACAGTCCATGGGGTCGCAGAGTCAGACATGACTGACGTGACTTAGCATGCATGCACATTACTTTCTTAAGGCCTTGATGCTGTCATCCTGATGTGGAGTTAAGGCTACAGGGATGTTACAGCAGGAGGAGGGTCTGAAGGGGAAGGGAGTTGAGGAGGGAGGTTCTGTGTTAGCTGGCTGTTGCTGTGTAACGAATTACCCCAAAACTTGTTAGCTTAAAGTCACAGCAATAGTTTGGCATGACTTAGTTTCTGTGGGCTTCCCTGGTGGTTCAGTAGTAAAGAATCCGTGCCAGTGCAGGAGGCCTGGGTCCGATCTCTGGGTCGCACAGTGTTCTCGCCTGGGAAATCCTGTGGTCAGAGGAGCCTGGTGGGCCACAGTCCATGGGCTCAGAGAGTCGGACACGACTGAGGGACTAAACAACAATAACAGCAGTTTCTGTGGGTCAGGAATTGAGGAGTGGCTTACTTGAGTGATTGTGTTTGGGATATCCAGGGAAGTCGCTGTCAGGTAGGGCCACAGTCATCTGAAGGCTTGACTGGGGTCAACTTCCATGGCTGGAAAATTGTTGCTGGCTCTTGGCTCTTGGCCAGATTCCTTTGATGTGGATCTCTGTGGGGTTGCTTGAATGTCGTACAACATGGCAGCTGGATTCCTCCAGAGAAGCCCAAGCGACCAAGGTAGAAACCTACCACGGAGCCTTACCTCGTCACACTGCGTCACTTCTGTCATGCCCAGTCCCTCACACAGAGCAGCCCAATTTATTGTGGGAGGGAACAACCCGAGGGCGTGATACCTGGAGGTGAGGATTATTTGGGGCCATATTGGAGGTCCCTGTACTAGTTTGCTAGCGCTACCAAACTCTAGCAGAGTTTGTGGTAGCAGAGTACCACAGACGGGGTGCCTTAAAGCACAGACATTCATGATCTTTCAGTTCTAGAGGCTTGAAGACTGAGATTAAGGTGTTGACAGAGCTGGTTTCCTGGTGAGGGGGGTGATCTGCTCCCAGCCCCTCCCCTTGGCTTGCAGACAACCACTCCCCGCATGACTTTATGTCTTCCCTCTGTACATACATGTGTCCAGAGTTCCTCTTCTTGTAAGGACAGCAGTCATTATGAACTAGGGCCTTCCTAATGACCTCATTTTAATTTAATCACATCTGTAAACATCCTGTCTCCAAATACAATGGCATTCTGAGGTTCTGGGGTAGGACTTCAACACAGGAATTTTTTTTAATTTATTATTTTTTTTTTACTTTTGATTGCACTGACTCTCAGTTGCTGTGTGAGGGCTTTCTCTAGTTGCAGCAAGTAGGGGGCTCCTCTCTAGTTACAGTGGCTTCTCTTGTTGTGGAGCACAGGCTCTGGGCACACAGGTGTCCATAGTTGTGGCACACAGGCTTAGCTGCCCCACAGCAAGTGGAATCTTCTGGGACCAGGGATGGAATCCATCTCCCCTGCATTGGCAGGTGGATTCTTACCCACCTCGCCACCAGGGAAAGTCACAATACAGGGATTTTTGTAGCGACACAGCTCAACCCATACCAGCTCCCAGCCTCCCTTCCCAGCCCTGCCCCCCAGAGTCAGATGGGTTTTACTCACTTTCTCTCTTTACCGCCATTCTCTCAGGGCCAGTCCCTTCTCGGGACAATTCACCTGAGCCAGGATTTTTTCCCCTTGTTAGCTCTGTGGGAGAGATTCAGGCCAAAAGGATAGAGGAAGCTGAAAGCTGCCTTCTGGCTCTCTGTCAAGTGTGACAGCGTCCAAGCAGAGAGGTGGATGGCAGCCGTATGTCACATCTCAATAAAGTACTCACCTCTTCCTGTTGCCGGTCCAGATCTCATCTCCAGCGTTCCCCATCCTGCCCTTTGCCCTGGGAGGCTGTCTGATGTCATCTGCTACGGCCTGAATGCTTGTGGCCACCCCCCACCCCCAATTCATATGCTGAAGCCTGAATCTCCAGTGTGTTGGTATTTGGAGGTGGGCCCTTGGGAGGTATTGGAAGAATTATGTTATAAGTGGGAGGCCCTCATAAATAGGATCGGTGCCCTTATAAGAGAAGTGAGAGGCATGTCTGTCTCTGCTAACTTTTTTTTTCCCCTACAGTTTTTAAATTTTTTTATTCTTTATTTTTGGCTGGACTGGGTCTTCGTCCTTGCTGTGCAGTTTCTCTCTAGTTGGCGATGAGTGGGGGCTGCTCTCTAGCTGCTGTTCGCCGGCCTCTCGTTCTCTTGTTGTGGAGCATGGGCTCTTAGGGCACATAGGCCTCAGTAGTTGAGGCCCATGGGCTCCGCACTTGTAGCTCTTGGGCTCAGTTGTTGTGTTGAACAGGCTTAGTTGTTCCTCAGCATGTGGGATCTTCCTGGACCAGGGCTCAAACCCCTGTCTCCTGCATTGGCAGGCGGATTCCTCACCAGTGAGCCACCAGGGACGCCCCCAACTTTTATTCTTATAAGGGCAACGGTGCAAGTTGGCCAGCTACCAAAATCAGTTCAGTTCAGTCGCTCAGTCGTGTCCGACTCTTTGTGACCCCATGGACTGCAGCACGCCAGGCCTCCCTGTCCATCACCAACTCCCGGAGTTTACTCAAACTCTCATGTCCATTGAGCTGGTGATGCCATCCAACCATCTCATCCTCTGTCGCCCCCTTCTCTTCCCACCTTCAGTCTTTCCCAGCATCAGGGTCTTTTCCAGTGCATCATGTGGCCAAAGTATTAAAGTTTCAGCTTCAGCATCAGTCCTTCCAATGAATATTCAGGACTGATCTCCTTTAGGATGGACTGGTTGGATCTCCTTGCAGTCCAAGGGACTCTCAAGAGTCTTCTCCAACACATCCATCTAACAAATATATTTATTAGAATGGACTCTCGCTGGGAACACAATAAGCAGATTTTGGGTTTCTCAGCTTTCAAAACTGGGAGGAAGAAATTTCTGTCGTTTAAGACACACAGGCTGTAGCATTTTTGTTACGGCAGCCTGGAACTGACCAACGTAGTATCTATGGGCTCCCCTGCCGTATGCCTTCCTGTTGGTTTGGACCAGTGAGATCACAGTCCAGATATCAGAAGAGGAAAGAGGACGCTGGGGTGTTTATACTCCGAGATCCATCCAGAAATCAGAAGAGGAAAGAGTGAAGTTGGCATATATATCCTCCCAGATGAATCCCGGCTGACCTAGAGGTGGTGGTGAAGAAGGAATTCACAGGGCCTGGACTCCATCTCAGGCCTATCCATGCTGATCACGCTCGGCCGCCTCTCCAGTGGGCTCTGAACTCTGTGTTAGTGCCTATGGAAACGATAACAGAAGGCTAAGACCCCCTCCAGACAGGGGAACCTTGAAGATCATATCCAGGTTACTCATCGCCTAAGTGAGCACATACGCTAATCACCCCTTCCTCCAGACAGGCCATAAATTTTCTGTACCTATCCGAGTGTAACCTCGGGCTTATTGATTATTGGCTAATTGTTTAACTGTCTGAGCACATGGCACACGAATGATGGGGTTATGGGGATTGTATTTACCCTTCCTTTGTTTCTGTAACTCTCAAGGAATTTGGGGTGGTGGGTTCGGACACGTACACATGGGGTATAAAAGATTTCCACAAATGCTGGTCGGGGCCCTTGGCTAAGAGGAGACTCTGCCTTGGGCCTGCCGGTGTAATAAACTGCACTCCAGTATCTGCATTGTCCTTCTGACTGAGTTTGTTTCCTGAAACACGTGGCCACAACATTTGGTGCATGAGCCGGGAAACTCCTCACTTTGAGGAGACAAGTCCCACTTGGGACTACTCCGAGGCCTTGTGGCTTGAATCTTCTAGAGGGGGGAAGGCGCCTCACCTTTCTGGAAGGATTCTGCTTCTCAACGCCTGGATCTTTCACGTTAGCAGGTAGTGGATAGCAGCAGGGGAACGGAGTGCTCAGGTGAGGAGGAACCCACCCGGCAGGGTGGAAGAGGGGGCCTGATCACCCCCCTGGGAGGGACTAGAAGGGGCACGGACCCACCGGAGCCTGGAATATGCAGGTGGCGATTGCTTGGTACACAGGTCGACTAGTGTGCTAGGGTCATTTAGGAGGTGTGTCCACGCCATCTCGGGGAAAATTATTACCAAGCGATCGCCAGGGGGTTTTTAGGACAGGAAACTGGTCCTTGTACGCTCGTATTCTGCCCGCCCCCAGGAGGTGTCCCGTCTGCTGTGAAATTCTTGACCCCCTCGGAATTGTTAGGCTAGAAGGAGGGGGATACATAAGTGAGTATGAATTGGCTTTTCTGGAGATGGCCTGGGACATAGTATATTTAACCCATCTGTGTTTTCGTCCGCACCTGATCAAGCCCACCAAGGCAGAATGGACTTTAAGGGAGAAACAGTCTTGGACCATGTGATGTTCTGGTTCAGCTATGCTGACCGGCAGGTGAAGACACACCGATCCCCCTTCTCCCTCTGGGGTCTGGCAGGTAAGGCTCTTCTCACCCCAATTAGGAAGGAGGCAGAATGGCAATTTAAGTGTCACTGAGTGGAAATATGAGAAGTACATAGGGTACTGAGAACTTCATAGACAGAACGAAAAGGAAAAGTACCAGAAGGTCTGAGAAGGTAAGCAAGATGGGGGGAAGTGAATCTAAGGCAACTGTACTGGAGTGAAAATTTGAAAGAAGGGATTAGGGGGAGACTATGGGGTGAAGATGAAGCCTAACTGCCTCCACATGCTCTGTGAGGTCGAATGGCCCCTATGGGAGCAGGAAGGCCACCAGAGAACACCGTGAACTTAAAAATAGTGGAAGCAACCTACACAGTAGTCACAGGAGAGCCAGGGCACCTGGATCAACATCCATCTACTGACTCATGGCTAGGGTTAGCTTGAGACTCTCCTACTTGGACAAGGTTCTGTATCCAGAAGGGAAAGGGAAAAATATTAAGGGCACAACAATTGACTGATGATAAAAAAGGAAATTCTACAGAATTTGGACTGGGATGACCTGGCCCCTCCCCCATGGTGGATGGTGACACGCCTGCCTCCCAGGGCTCCACCGGGACTGGAGGCCGCCTTAATGCCCGATCCAGGGCCAGGTGAAGTTTCTGCAGCAGCCGCTGCTCCTCCGCCAGCTCTCCCAGAGTTCGTAGAGCCGCCGTTTGGGCAGGCTCCGATCCCGGTGACAGAAGCCTCTGGCCAACACTTCCAGGATCCGGCTCCAGCCGAACCGCCCAAGCTATACCCGCCTCTCCCGGTGAGTACTGACAAGAGGGGGAGGGAGACGTTGGAATTAAGCAGAGACCGCGCTCTGCCAGAGAGCCGGAGGGAACGAGAGAGAACAGACAAGAGACTTACAGTGCAAGCTGCTGCTCTGGGAAAGTCTATCTCGGGCCCTCCGGAAAACCTCCTCTGCCCCAGGGACAGGACAGTCCTTCAGCCGGTCCCAAGGGAGGCGCTGGGCCCGTTACAGCCAAACCAGTGTGCCCGAGGCCGATGCGAGGTTTTGGCCACTGGAAGAATGAATGCCCTAAGGCAAGGAAGGAAGAGGAAGCTCCCGCAGTTGTGGGGCTTGCTGAATTGGAAATTAACTAGGGCTGCCAGGGCTCAGAGATACCAGGTCCCTGAGAGCCCATGGTAACCTTAAAAGTGGGGGACCAAAACATTGACTTCATGGTGGATACAGGAGCAGAACTTTCGGTAGTAACAAAACTTGTGGCACCTCTGTCCAAAAAGACTACCGCTGTTACTGGGGTATCGGGAGAAGAGATGATTGAATCATTTTGCCAGCCCAGAAAATGTCAGGTGGGGGGGCACCAAGTGATTCATGAATTCCTCTACATTCCTGAGTGCCCAGTACCCCTCTTGGGAAGAGACTTGCTCTCCAAACTAGGAGCACAAGTGACTTTCTCCCCTGAGGAGAGGCCCACCTTCCGGATGGACTCTGACTTATTTGCTCTCTCTCTCATCTCCAAGATGAGTGGAGGTTGCATGAGCCTCTGAAGGCAGAACCGGGTGGGCCGGAAGAGCCTGAGAGAGAGCTAACTCAATTATTCCCTGAGGTCTGGGTGGAAGACAACCCCCCCTCCCCCCAGGCTGGCTAAACCTCACGCCCCAGTGATAATGGAACTCAAACCAGGCACCATGCCGGTTAGAGAGTGCCAGTACCTGCTATGGATGGAGGCCTGAACCGGCATATTGCCCCACATCAATACATTGAAACAAGCAGGCATTCTAGTAGAGTGCCAGTCAGCTTGGAATATGCCAATCCTGCCAGTCAAAAGGGAAAGAGGACAGGGCTATAGATCTGTATAAGATCTCAGGCTAGTCAATCAGGCTACTGTGACTTTACACCCCACTGTTCCAAACCCCTATACCTTACTTAGCCTCCTCCAACCGAGGACTAAAGTTTTCTCTTGCCTAGATCTCAAGGATGCCTTCTTCTGCATACGCCTCGCCCCAGCGTCACAGCCCATCTTTGCCTTTGAATGGGAAGGTCCAGTCGGGGGCACCAAACAGCAGCCCACCTGGACACCCCCACAAGGGTGTAAGAACGCCCCAGCCATCTTTGGGGAAGCCTTGGCTCCTGACCTGGACTCATTCCATCTGGAAGAGTATGGATGTTGGCTTCTACAATACGGGGATGACCTGCTCTGCCCAGACCTCTGCTGCTGGCTGCCGAGACCAAGGAAAAATGCTGGAAAGGGACCAAAGTGCTGCTCCAGCTGCTGATGGAAGCAGGTTACTGGGTGTTGAAGAAGGCACAGATCTGTAAGGAGGAGGTAAGGTATCTGGGGTTTGTTTTAAAGAAGGGCTCAGGTTCCGGAAGTTGCTTTCTGAGAGAGAGTGTGGAGTAGTGTGGTGCTTGTGAGTGTCCAGCATGGCGTACCGCGGCCAGGGCCAGAAGGTGCAGAAGGTGATGGTGCAGCCCATCAATCTCATCTTCAGATACTTGCAAAATAGATCGCGGATTCAGGTGTGGCTTTATGAGCAAGTGAATATGCGGATAGAAGGCTGTATCATTGGTTTTGATGAGTATATGAACCTCGTATTAGATGATGCAGAAGAGATTCATTCTAAAACAAAGTCAAGAAAACAACTGGGTCGGATCATGCTAAAAGGAGATAACATTACTCTGCTCCAAAGTGTCTCCAACTAGAAGTGATAGACGAAGTGAGAAATTGTTTGGCAATACCATTGCGTTTTTTAGGTGTCTTTTGTTAGAGATGTAGTTCTAAAACATGTATTCATATTGTTCTGCTCACCCTTATGTTATTACCAGATGACAATAAATGCTGTGGGACTGTTAAAAAAAATAAATAAATAAAATAAAGAAGGGCTCAACCATTATACAGAGAGAAGTAAGCCAGAAAGATAAAGACCATTACAGTATACTAACACATATATATGGAATTTAGAAAGATGGTAACGATAACCCTATATGCAAAACAGAAAAAGAGACTCAGATGTATAGAACAGACTTGTGGACTCTGGGAGAAGGCGAGGGTGGGATGTTTCAAGAGAACAGCATCGAAACATGTGTATTATCTAGGGTGAAACAGATCACCAGCCCAGGTTGGGTGCATGAGACAAGTGCTCGGGCCTGGTGCACTGGGAAGACCCAGAGGGATCGGGTGGAGAGGGAGGTGGGAGGGGGGACCGGGATGGCGAATACATGTAAATCCATGGCTAATTCATTTCAATGTATGACAAAAACCACTGCAATGATATAAAGTAATTAGCCTCCAACTAATAAAAATAAATGGAAAAATTAAAAAAATAAAAAAATTAAAAAAAAAAATAAAATAAAATAAAGAAGGGCTCAAGGTTCCAGACCCTAATTGGGTCCTATATACTGATGGCACTAGCCTGATAAAACAAGGACAATGGCTGTCAGGTTAGCCAAAGCGGAAGGGGCCATCAAGACTGAAAAGGGATGGTGGGAATTGCCAAGTGGCAAATTATTGGTACCAGAGGAGCTGGCACACACTCTGGTAAGCCAGACACACCAAGCGACCCACCTAGGCCATGCTGCCTGCTCACAGGTGAATGCTGCCTCTCCAGTATTCAGACAAAAAACCTCTGGGTATTCAGCTGAAAGGCTCACTGCCCTTTGAACACCTGGGAGTGGACTTCACTGAAATGAAACCTCACCGACACTACCTTCACCTGCTGGTCATGGTATGTACATTCTCGGGATGGGTAGAAGCTTTTCCTACGTGGACTGAAAGAGCACCAGAAGTCGCCCAGTGCCTTCTTAGGGAAATAGTTCCCAAATTTGAACTTCCTACTAGCATTGGTTCAGACAATGGCCCGGCTTTTGTAGCTGATTTAATACAACAAGTAAGCAAAACTTTAAACATCAAATGGAAACTGCACACTGCATATACGCCCAGAGTTCTGAGATGGTGGAATGAACCAACCGGACACTTAAAGAGACTCTCCAAGTGGATCAGAGAGACTGACCGCTCCTGGGTGGACTTGCTTCCGATGACTGCTCAGACTCAGGATGACCCCACAGTCCCAAGGCTATTCTCTACACGAAATTGTGTATGGGAGGCCCCTCCCATAATAAAACAGGTGTCAACAAATTTGCCTCAGGTAAGGGGGGATAGGATTTCACAGCAGATGGAACTGGGTAAGGTAATAAATCGGGTAACTAAGTTTGTACAAGAAAGGGTGCCATTCTCCCTTGGGGAACAGATTCATGAGTTTACGCTTGGTGACCAAGTATGGGTCAAAGATTGGAAACATGATTTGCTAGCCCCTTGGTGAAAGGGCCCTTATGTTATTCTAACTACCTCTACTGCAGTTAAAGTTGCAGGTATTGTCCCTTGATCCATCATACGAGGGTGAAGAGAGCATACCACGCAGACCCAGAAAACACTGAGTGGACTGCACAGAGGGACCCCACTGACCCTCGAGAGACTAAGACCATCCTTAAGAAGAAGGAAAAGAAGATCCCGGACGAGCCCCTTCAGGATGAAGCCGCACAATCAACTCCTGCTGCTTGGCCTCATCAATGTGATTTTGAATTTAACTTCTGTCTCAACTCAGGACAATGTTTTCATCTCATGGGCACATTCCTATGCAGACTTCCACAACACTTCCAACTGCTGGGTATGTGGGGTTGTGCCTCTGTCAGTGATGGATGGACTTCCTTGTTGGGTGTTACCACTCCGCCAAGGAGATTTTAAACCACTCTGATCTTTTCTGGGATGACAAAAAGAGACTTTCCTCTCTCTTGTCAATCATAACCTCTCCTTGCTCTCTTGGTGCAAGACCTACAGTCAATAGACTCGGGTCATGGGGTTACATTTGATATAAATGCCAGTGTAACAAGAGCCTAACCTACAACAAGCCCTGGTAAATCTACCTTATTTACATGCTAGGTGGACAAGATCTGTGTTTCAATGGTATGAGTATATTGCTGCCTTAGTCGTACCCTCTATAGGGACAACAGATATTATGATTAAAGTAGAGGCCTTGACTAATTTCACAAAACAGGCCCTCCTAGATAGAACAAAAGCCATCCAAGCCTTAAATGAAGAGCAAATCCAAATGAGAAAAGCAGTAATTCATAATAGAATGGCTTTGGACATACTAACAGCTGCTCAAGGAGGGACCTGTGCTATAATTAAGGTTGAATGTTCTCTATACATTCCTGACTTAACTGGCAATGTATTGACTGCTTTAGATGACATGAAAAACCAGGTAAAATCAATGTCAAATAAAAACACTCCTTTCTGGACTTCAGTCCTATCTTGGGTGAAGAGCGATTGGTGGAAAACTATATTTACCACTGTTATAGTTGCCTTGATAATTCTGCTTTGTGGACCCTGAATTTTACAATGTATTATGAACTTTGTAACCCAGAGGTTGATAGCATTCTTTCATGTGGGTGGCCAGAGGGCTAGGGTACAATATATCGCAATAAATGATGCTCATTACGGAAACTAGGAGCATCAAGAGGGGGAAATGAAGAAGGAATTCACAGGGCCTGGACTCCATCTCAGGCCTGTCCATGCTGCTCATGCTCGGCCGCCTCTCCAGTGGGCTCTGAACTCTGTGTTAGTGCCTATGGAAACGACAACAGAAGGCTAAGACCCCCTCCAGACAGGGGAACCTTGAAGATCGTATCCAGGTTACTCATCGCCTAAGTGAGCACATACACTAATCACCCCTTCCTCCAGACAGGCCATAAATTTTCTGTACCTATCCGAGTGTAACCTCAGGCTTATTGATTACTGGCTAATTGTTTAACTGTCTGAGCACATGGCACACGAATGATGGGGTTATGGGGATTGTATTTACCCTTCCTTTGTTTCTGTAAGTTTCAAGGAATTTGGGGTGGTGGGTTTGGACATGTACACATGGGGTATAAAAGATTTCCACAAATGCTGATCGGGGTCCTTGGCTAAGAGGAGACTCTGCCTTGGGCCTGCCGGTGTAATAAACTGCACTCCAGTATCTGCATTGTCCTGAGTGAGTTTGTTTCTCGGAACGCGTGGCCACAACAATGGTAACAGCTCCCCGCAGGTACATTCCTGGGAGTTGTACCATCTGAGTCAAAATCAGGCTGATTTACAGAAAATAGTGAAGAGAGGTGACACTGCTTGCAGACCCGACTTGGGGGACAGAGGTGAAGCCTGTGTGGTGCTGTCATAGCACCCACGGGCGGGAAGCAGGGTGCTGCTCTCCTGCACGTCTTTTCTTGCACATCCTGGGGAACTTTAGGTGCTGGAGGAAGACCTCCCAGGAGGTCTCCGAGCAGAAAGGGTCCTGCCAGTGGACAGAACAGGCATGGGCTGGCTTTCAGGCATCAAGTGTAGTGAACTGAAGTATTAGTTGCCCAGTCATGTCTGACTCTTTGCAACCCCACAGACTGTAACCCGCCAGGCTCCTCTGTCCATGGAATTCTCCAGGCAAGAATACTGGAATGGGTTGCCGTTTCCATCTCCAGGGGATCTTCCCAACCGAGGAATGGAATCCGGGTCTGCCCCCGTCCAGGCAGATCCTTTACTGTCTGAGCCGCCAGAGAAGCCCACAGGCTGGGCTGAGCTCTGCTTGTCTGGACACTCTGGGACCCCTCTCCTCCTCCGCGTTTGAAATGCCTTACTTGGAAGAGGAAGGCGACTTTTGTCAGGGCCAAAGCAGGAACTGGCCAGCTGCTAATAATCTGAAGTTATTCTGAAGTGAAGTCGCTCAGTCGTGTCCAACTCTTTGCAACACCGTAGGCTGTAGCCTACAAGGCTTCTCTGTCCATGGAATTTTCCAGGCAAAAGTACTGGAGTGGGTTGCCATTTCCTTCTCCAGGCTGCTAATAATAAACTACTCTAATTCATTCAAGAAATATTTACTAAGCTCCTTAGTGGGTTTTTAGGGCTTCCCAGGTGGTGCTAGTGGTAAAGAACCCACCTGGTGATGCAGGAGACTTAAGAGATGAGGGTTCAATCCCTGGGTCAGGAAGATCCCCTGGAGGAGGACATGGCAGCCCACTCCAGTATTTTTGCCTGGAGAATCCCACGAACCGAGGAGTCTGGTCAGCTACAGTCCACAGGGTCTCAAAGAGCTGGACACAACTGAAGCAACCTAGGTCCTTAGTGGGTTTGCAAATCCTTCAACACCTTCCCCTTGCTCCTCACCAGAGGGGACAAAAGGATGCCAGAAGAACAGGGGGACTACTTAGAGTCTCTGAAGCCAGAGATCTCACAGTCCAGCACTCTAGACACCATCAGCGCATCCTATGTGTTTATTAAGAGTTGAAATGTGAAT